AATGATAGTATACGATGGAAAAAAAATGTATTGAGTAAAAATGTTTTTGAAGAGAGATAATGTCCAAATTCACTGAGGATAATTATCCTCAAAGTAATTATTGTTAAAATGTGTGTCACTGAGAGTATTTCAAAGATAAGTCTGTTCCTAAAGTTATTCTGTGCAACAACTTACAATAATGCTTCCAAAAACTGTTCAATAGGCCAGATTTATGAAATGTAGGTAACTTAGATTAAAACATGTCCGTCGCCTGATTACCCCCAGACTTTAGATATACTTATATAAGACAGTCGTTCAGATCTTATTCTATTTTATTGGCATTAATTTGGCCATTGTTACAATTTATTACTACACCAGACAATACGATGCAGTATAATATATTATAGTGTTACAATCTATATCGTGACCACATGATATTCTGTAATGATATGACATTTAAGGTTTTGTGTTAAAAAATGTAATAAAAAAATCGCTGGCATTGCAGACGACTTTTAGAGGTCACGTGACCAGCCGCTGAATGGGCCAGACGTGCTTAAACTCGCGGCAACATGTTTTACAGTCCTCTTGGAGTATCTGTTAGCACAGAAGTTTAGAGTAAAAGTAAGAAGCCCAAGTCACAAGCGTTTCTTAAACCCAATGATGAGAAAGTCAAGTCTTTTACCCATTTAAAACTTGAATGTGTGTGTGCGAGCACGTAGCTCAAAGACTATAGAGTATACCCGGAGCCTGTGGATTCTAGCATCTCTGGCAAAAGCACTCTTTGAAAAATGAAAAAATATACTGTACTGTACGAGTTTAAAAAGCTTCTTGTCAATTTAGTTTGGTTTCGTCATTTCTGTCTTGGGCGACAATAATCTTAAGGTTTTTTTTAAATGTTTAGATGTAGAGATGTAGAAAATCTTAAAAAAGGAAAGAATAGAGAAATCTCTGTTGGTCGAAATAAAAGTACATTTGCACTTTTCAAGGGAAATGTAATAGACATTAGGTCAAAAGCCGACTTGACGCAGGTCTGATATCAATCTAAAACTATTTTCCTTCATGTTTATTTATCTATTTATTTATTTTATTGCAAACGATTTAAAAGAGACCTATTAAGAGGGCTTTCATACATTCGTCATACATTCTATATCTGATTTAAATTGCTAAGATATTTCATAACTTTATTGAAAATTAAGCAATAAATCGACATAAAAACTGTAATCGATCTTGTGATAGGGATATCCGGGTAGCGGATTAGATTTGTTCAATCTGACGCACAAAAGAGCTGAAGTATCAATATTTACGTGTTATTTTGATCGTGTTAATTACAACCAAATTGCCATACAATGCCGGAATTTGTCCGTGCACGCAGAACCGGTGCATCAATTAGGAGCTAATCACGAAATATGTTCGTGCATGGTCAAAATGAATAAATACACATGTAAATAAACAAGGGTGGAAAACGTGCATGTTTTAATATTTAATGTAAGCGGCTTACTACAACTTGTATTCAATACTGTTTTATTCATTAGCTCGACTATACGAAGTATATGGAGAGCTGTCCTACTCGCCCCGGCGTCGGCGTCGGCGTCCGCGTCCAGATTTTAGATTAAAGTTTTGGTGCAGTAAAATATTTTTCACTATAACTTTGTCATTTCTTAAGGTATCAACTTCAAACTTCAAATATATGTTCCTTATCATCAACCACATCTTATGTGACAAGGTTCATAACTCTAGCACCAATATTTACAGATTTATCTCCCCTTGAACTTAGAATTTTCCTTAAAAAATACTATTTCTTACTGTTTCTTCTTTATTTCTTAAGGGATCAACCTCATACTTTAAATATATTTACCTTATCATCATCCCCATCTTATGTGACAAGGTTCATAACTCTAGGACCAATATTTTCAGATTTATCTCCCCTTGAACTTAGAATTTTCCTCAAAAAATGCTATTTCTTACTGTTTCTTCTTTATTTCTTAAGGGATCAACCTCATACTTCAAATATATTTACGTTATCATCATCCCCATCTTATGTGACAAGGTTCATAACTCTAGCACCAATATTTTGAGATTTTTCTCCCTTTGAACTTAGAATTTTCCATAAAAAATATTATTTTTTACTGTTACTTATTTATTTCTAAAGGGATCAACTTCATACTTCAAATATATATTACGTAATCATCATCCACATCTTATGTGACAAGGTTTCATAACTCTAGCACCAATATTGCAAGAATTATCTCCCCATAAACTTAGATTTTTTTACTAGACAATAATTTAATTTTTTTTTAAATTTTATTATTTTTAAAAGGTAATTACTAAAACTTCAAAAATACTTTTCCTTTTCAAATTAATTTATGTGGACAATGGTCTGATATCTCTAAAAATATTTCATTTTATCTTCTTTTATTTATTTTTTCCTTTAAAAATATTAACTTTCTACATTTTAATTTATATCTATTTAAATTCTAAATATATTATATTTATTATTCATTACACATAATGTTGTCTTGTGAAGAAGGTAGCGGATTAATCTCTAGCAAAAATGACTATTTATACGATTATTTTGATCTTGGAATTAAAATGCTTAAAAATGCCGAATTTGTCCTACCAGAACTATCAATAGGACTAATCACAATATTGTTCTGTCTGGTAAAATGAATAATACCTCGTTACTGAACGTGCATTTTATATTTAATTAGCGGCTTGCTTCCTTACAGTCTTGTTATTATTATTATTATTATTATTATTATTATTAATTTATGTTCTTTGAATTTGGTTAAGCAGCCAACAGTACAGTTTATGTTTTCGACTGCATGCATAAGTCGCTAGTATGTTATGATAATGACATAGACTGGATGAATTGATATACGCCATACGCATGCACGTGCAAATTAACGCCTGCGTCTCAGTGCACGTGCTAGTCACTAGTAAAAGAGTGACCATGATGGTCACTACATTCTTAATACAACACTTGAAGTGTTTAGTTTTATTCAAAAAGGTGATTCAACTACATATTTAACGATATAAATTTTCTCCAATTTTTTGATCGACTTATGCATTATCATTGTTCGACTTAAACCTCTCACTAAATCATATGTAAACTTTGAAAAGGAATTATACCACGGAAAACCAGTCAACTTATAACCTTTTAAAATATTTTTCTACCAAATATAGAGTTTGACTCACTTATCACTGGGCCATTTATACCCAAGTGTGCAAAATCACTTAAATCAATATGACCGAAAGAGATTTAATTGATATTCCGGAGATTATTTAAATTCAATAAAATCGATTCAACGTCTTAAGATATTTTCTCCGGATTAACAAGTTTCATTTGTCTATGCCGCTAGCTAAGGTAGGTATGGATCTCGACTACTGGCGGATACCTTCACCAACTGTCAAGACTTTCTCATTTTTAACTAAAATAATATATGTATTTTACTTATTTGTTTATTTATTTTTGATTATTTTTTTCTTGCCGCGAGTCTAGATTAAAGCTTTGTACATACTCAATACATGTATACTTATTTCACTGGGCTTAATGTAAGTCCTTGCTTATTTTAATTGTCATTAAAAGATTTATCGAAATTGCGGTAACTGTCAGTCACGTGACCATGATGTTTTTCATATTTACGTCATCATTTATTCCTGACAGAACTTGTTCGAGTATTTCCCACTTTACCTTTATCAAGTTATCATTTACACAAAAATAATTTGTTCTAAATATGCGAACTGTATGTACTTTTAGAAAAACGTAAGAAGTCATTGGGTTTTGAGTATTTTCGAAACCAAAAGAAGAAAATCACCAAATTAACGCTCAACATGCAGTCCAATATAGAAAATGTATTGTATACTACAGAGTCCAATATGGGGTTATATTGGACGGTCACGCGGCACAACTCGATTGATTGAAAATAATTGAAAAAGAAATATCACCAGTACTTACTTACTTATTATATCACAAACATTTGGTTTTCTTTGAAAAAAAGATGTGTGCACAATCTCTTTTATTTATTTTTTTTAGGGGAGGGGAGAGGGATACCTTATAAAAACCTTTTTGTGCTTCATCATCATCATCATGCTTAAAATTTAGAGAAATAAAAAAATTAAACAATCAGAGATTATATATAGATAAAGCTGAGCTAATTCTTTATCTACATTTTTCGTGGACCTTTATAGCATTTTACACCGGGCAAGTTATATTAAGTTCAACCACTCCATGTTATTTACTTATCACCAGTTCGATTTGTATGTAAAGTGTTTGAAAGGTATTAAGATTGGTTCATTCCTTTTATAAATTCATATACTCGCAAATGGTGTTTATTGCATTTGAAAGTTTAAACACATAAATAATGACATCTAAGGTATTTAGTACGGTACGTTTTTTTTTATTGATATACTGTCACGAGTAACATGAATGTATTAAACCTTGTGCAGATACGTGGGCGAATCCATTTAGACCATTATTTTCTTCAAGAAATCTTCATCTTGTTTAAGATTAAGTTTATAATCACCAAAATGCTATAGTCATTTTCTTTTCGCAAGGGCGGTAACAGATTCTACCCACGTGACCACTGCAGACGACACGGTCTGCAGCAAACTACATACAGTTGTATTTTTGAAAATAATGACAACAGGTTTTGTCCAGATAGAAAGATGGGCAAGTCTGTTTATAAAATTCAGCATTTTAATGGTCAAATATAATACACATGATGTAATGCGTAAAATTTAGATAGTTTTTGATTTTTTCTTCTTCTGAAAATGACGGGAAATTTTGGGCAGCAATGCCTTCAATCGAAGCATGGCCTCTGAATATTTCATCGATCTTGCCTCAAAGGTACATATCAATAAATAAAGAAACTAACGTGGCTTAATTATGTATAAACCTGCCTTGTTCCCTTCAAGCAATTCTGCACGAGTTTTGCGCGCGGTGTTTCCTGCATTCTGTCCTGGCTGAAACGGCCCGAGAGAAACCAAATACAACAGATATTTGAGGAACAAAACCAACACAGTTTTCTTTTCAAAAATACTTTTATTTTCACATTTTTTTTAATTATTATTTATTTTCAATATAGTGTAAACACTTGCAACCGGTGTAGGCACACTAGTGCTGGGAACAAGAAACAAATGATAATGAAGCTAATACTGAATGATACTGGGAACCAGCTTTTAATGCTCACAAGGGAAACAACTTATAGACAAGTCTTATAACTCCTGGTCAAAACTATCCTAAATTTAATCAACGATTAAACTGTTTATTCTACTTATTATAATATTGTTTACTACTAATGCTTTATACTTAAATTTTCCCCAGAATAATAAATAAACAATTCAAAAAGTTATCCCTTGCGAGTAAAGAAAATACAAATGAAAATTATTACTTGATATATTAATTTCAAATCTATATTTGCATGATAAATGTATAGCAAAGAAATTTTGAAATTCAAAAAATGGAATGAGTTCAAAGGATTAAATCTCAAGCAAAGGTTATAAAAATGCTTTTAAAACACAACAAAATAAAATATCTGATTTGACACCAATTCTACAAGGATTATTAATACTAAACTAAAACATGTCTACATAAAATTTAAAAACATGAAGTCACACGTCTTAATTTCATGTACACTTATAAAATAATATATTATAACTCGGACTACATATTTTATTATACTATTACACTATCATTTGGTTTATCAAATACAGAGAAAAGTATTAAATTATATTTTGCAGCAGTTTAAAACCATTACTATTATGGTAACCTTTTTCATTATAGAGACATATACATGTAAATGAAAAAAAAAATGTTCCTTTCAACACATTTTCTTTCTTTGATTGTGAAAAAAATGATCTCTTGGCAGTGTTAAGCTTTTGTTCTTTCTCCCCAAAAATGTTTTAAATGGTTTACTTGTTGTGTGCACAATTTTTCACATAGAAAGATATGGAAAACAGACCTAGCATGTTACATTATTATACCAAATATATATTGTTGAAAATAAATCAAACTAAATTTGATAACATAGGATAAAAATTCCTGTTATTTTTTAGGTGTTTGTCTCCTTTCTTACTACATGTAGTTTTATAAGTATAAAAATAGTGTATTGAGGTAGATTTGATCAGATATTGGTTTACAATGTATTTATCACATATACTTACTTATTGATCCATAAACTGTTTAAAGTATTGTAAACTTTCAGAAAATACCAAAACGATTTAATACTTAGATCTCAAACTTATAATACTGGTATATTACACTGTGTTGTAATTCCTTTAGAAAATATGCACCCTGTTTCTTTCTCAAACAATTATCAATCTTATTCAACCATGATTACAAGGACTGATGTTTGAAAAAAAAATGAAAAGAAATACTTGAACAACGATTAAAAAAATGATAAAACAAAATTTGTCAAACAATGAATTTCATGAACATATGCATATATTAATATATTTTCTCCCTATTCTTTTTTAAATAAATAAATACAAAATGTTAATATTTACATGATTTATATACAATGTGTGTATATATAAATATCTATATATATATACAAAATAAAATTCTGTAATTAATAACACTATTTACAGTATGTACATGCATAAATAGTAATATATGTATCACTGGACGGAATACATTAGGACGGAAATTGATAAGGATCGTGTCAATGTACATGACACCCTTTTTATATATATAAATTTGCACAATGCCCTGGAGAGACACCAGAATGAAACTTTCATTTAGCATAAACTCAAAAATGAAAGTGACAGTTGTGTTTCATAATAATTGTTTAAATAAAGCTTTTCATGTTTTTAATTGTTAAAAAAAAAAATTATTGGAATATGTTGTAAAAATTGATCTACTGTTGGCATTATTTCTTGAAAGAACTCATTGAAAAAGTTATGAGCAGTTGCAGATATAAATATACATGTTTATGTAAAATAAACAGACCACATTTCTTTCTTAACATACCTGTCAATTACAATTCCAAAAACATAGGTAAAATTCATTATGCAAAAATCTGTTAAGTTTCAAAATGGAACCTCTCTCTCAATGGTAGTACTTACACAGCACTTTTATTGTTATCACATTTTTTGGTATTTTCATACCATTTCTATCTACAACAAAATTATACAATAAACAAATTTGTTAACCAAAAACCTGCTTGAACCATTTGCCACCAGTTTAGCACCAGGTGAGGCTGCACGTTTGTGTAGTTCAACCAGGCTCTATACTGCTGGTAGGTCAATTTGAAATCCCTTTAAATGGACTGTTCCAAATTCAAATCTGGGCAAGTCTATTATTAAAATTCAGCAGGTAAAGTGTTAAGAAATGATCTCATAAACATGATCTCTAATGAACTCAACTGAATGCTTGTGATGTAAAATGAAACAAGTTTGATCAAACATGATTGAGCTATCAGGAAAAGAAACAATCGTAATAATAGCAGAAAACACTAACAAGAGTAACAACTTTTTTAAAAAAATCATGAAAACATCAAGTATATGACTGTTGATGCAAAAATCAAATAAATATACTGGTGTTTTCCATTATTTTACCCTATCATACTGTTAATTAATGTTCTAATTTCATCTAAAATATGCCTTTAAACTGAGAAATGAATTAAAGGTACTGGCAGTTCAGAGTAATGATTTATAGAGTATATATGGCTAAATGGCTAAAAAAAATGGTAGTTTTTGGCAGCATTCTACACTCACATCTCAAAAAATAATCTAAAGTTCATGTGAGAATATTTGACAATATTTTAGCTTATTTCTAAGGCAACTAATGGTTTCTTATTTAAATACGATATTGCATTTGTTTTATGCCCCACCAATCATATATGGGGACTAGGAATGTTTTCAATGTCAAATAAATTGTCAACATCAAAAGGTGTATCGAGATTAAGAGCCGATCTGTCAAACCACGGATGATCGTTTTCTTCATTTTCGTGCACAGGTGAAGGTGCAACTGGAGTATTAAGTCCGCTTCTCGTTTCGATATTTTCAATGTTTTGTAGGAGATTTCTGTGCTCTCCGGCATTAAAACTGTCTGCCCACCAGTTGGGTGCTTTAATTCCGGTGCCTATCACTTCTAAACTGAGAGAATCATGGGTGGTAAAGTCTAATGGTGATTGTGATGGTGAAAAATCATTTTCACCTAAAAGGTCATCTAAACCAAAGTCACTAACAGAGTTTGAGTCTGATGAAGGCGGGCTCATTGCCATGATTGGACTAGCGGAGTCATCATTTGTGTCTATTAAATCTTCAGTTTTAATTTTTACACCACCGATTTCAATATCTTGATTCAGAATTGAGGTCCAGTTGAAATCCCCTTTCAAATGACCTTCATCCTCAGTAGCACCAAAATGTAAAACACTATTTCCATAATCTAATCTGCGCATTTTTGCTGGCGGGCTTGAACCCATGTCTTCGTAACCATCATCCACTGGTTCACTTTTAATTCTCTTTAAGTTAATTGGAAGAGTTGTGGTAGGAGAGTTTGTGTTTGAGCCTGACTGCCCATCACGAGAGTTTCTACGTTTCTTGAACACACCATTTTCAATAAGGTCACTGTATTCGGGATTAATTCTCCAGAATCCTCCTTTTCCAGGCTCGTCTTTTCTGCGAGGGACTTTCTGGAAACATTTGTTTAGTGACAAATTATGTCTTATGGAGTTCTGAAAAGAAAAAATATCAGGCCTCTTATATATATTGTACATATAGTTTATAAACAAGTTTAAAATGATACCCTTTACAAAATATGAAATACTTTTTCTTCAAGAAAATAATGTATATCTATCAGATGGGATAAGTACATTTACAACTTCATTAAAGATACATGTGACTGAAAACAATTCAAGAACAGCAATCGAGATAAACTGCTTCTTCTGCAGCTATAAAGACTTGGCAACCACATTGATTTTCAATAAAGATTGTTGGAAAATGTGACAATCATTAGCACACCAAAGAGTTCTTCCAAGATAAAAAAAAACCAATACAATACTCTATACATCCAGTCCCCTTCAATACAAAGAACTTTCCAGGAAGTTGCCATTTAATTAACAATAAGGCAATAAATTAGAATTATTACTAAAAAACTGGAAATATGAACACTTAAATTTTCACAATTTCCAAGTTTGGTTAATTATTCTAATTCCATCATTCAATTAGTCAAGGAATTGATATTTAACTAACCTGCCAACTTGGATCTGCTAATCTGTAATACATGAAGTTATCTGTTATCCAGTTGTAAATTGATGACAAAGTTATTTTACTTTTCTTAGTCTCTTTCATAGCCATGCATATTAATGTTGCATATGAGTATGGTGGTTTCACATATGGGTTAGTTTTATAGTCTATGGAATCCCCACCAAGGGTTGTTGGTGTGAGAGGTGGAGTGTCTACTGGCGGAAATCTCATTTCAAACATTTTTGTTGGTGGAGGTCCACATGCAACATTTAATATTGAATTAGGATTCACTTTAATGTTTTTGTAATCTCCAAAGGTTGGTGGCCCTGGACTAGATGGTGGTGTTGGAGTGGTGATCTTTAGAATGTTCAGATTCTGGAGCCAGTTTAAGCTTGTCAGACTGTCATCAAGGTGTGTGCCTCCATTGCTACATGTGTCCATTGGGTATTTTGCCATCCAATTCTGACGTAGCCTTAAGGCTAAGTGGTCACGGGTTAGAGCTGGCATCCTTGGCTGATGTTGATGAAGAGAGTAAGCCTGTGGATACTTTGACCTGCCTATTTGGGGGTGTACTTTTAGCATTGATCAAGTCTGGAAAAAAAACATTGATTATATTTAATTATTAATATTAATTAATATTTCAAATTTATTTTATCTAAATACATTTTTCCATCAATTAGTTTTTCTTCATGTAAATTCAATTTCTGCAACACTGTAACCTCTAAAAATATAATTAATGTGTTTTTCTCCCTATAAATATGTATGTTTACAATGATTTAATTTTTCTCAATTATAAAGAAAAAACTAAAAAATAAGCAAGTTATATATCCATAGCCGAATTAAAAGCAATAAATTGTTTTTCAGATATAATCAAGAGATGTGTAGATCTACAATTTAACATTATACATGTATATTTACAGCATTTGAAAATGGAATACTGAAACCTAATTCAGACACATAATATATAGATCCAGCTATATATAACAAATAATTTTTACAAATAATTATTAAAAAAAAATTAAAACAGAAACATGCAAAATTCATCAAGTATAAAAATGTCAACACCAGATTCTTGTTTAAACTTGAAACTGATTAAAAAATTAAACCTTAAATTAAACTACATTGTAAAACAACGTTTTCAATTCTAAGACTATAAAACGCAAATATGTTATAAGTTTATTTCAAAGTAATATTATAGTATTAATACCTTAAGATTTTTTCCATCAAATATTTTTTCTATGTGTAAATTCCATTTATCTTTAAATATTCTGCAATACTGTGACCTCTACAGTACAAAGCTTAAACCCAGAATGAAATAAATTGTTTAACTCTTTTCCCGGGCAGAGCAGTTTCATGTACATACAGGTATAGTCCAATAGATATACCTATACATTGTGTACATGTCCTGTAATCTACTTATTATGCAGGTATATGGGTTTAGGCATGCAGTCAGAAAAGGCGTCAAAGATAATCCGAGGTTAACCATTGGTTGTTCGATTTTTATAGTCCAAAAATAGATTTCCACGTGTAAGATAATAACAACTGTCAAACAAGTTTGCAAGATCCATATGAACTTTTAAAAATGACGTTCAAAAAAAATTAATCGTTCTGATTAAAATTAAACAAGTAAAATAATATATGTAAAAGATACTTACTTTCTAGAATGATTCAACTGATTTTTAAATTTTAAAATTAAAATTCCGTTGTTGTTTTTTTTTATAAACGGCATCAAACTTCTTTCTTCTATTTTTTATCTCCCAATATAAATTAAATCCATCAAACTTTAAGAAAAATATTGTTTTCTTTGGAACTGTTCAAGAGAAATGAATTAATTTGCAATTGTTCTTTCAGAAAACTGAATGAATTATGGTGTAGCAACAATGTAAACAACTATAAATACAGTTTCCACAAAAGGCCAATCAGTTTGTTTGACACAGTTTGCTTTTTGAGAAACCTATTTCTATTGGCTGATTGGATCCCGGGTTATGCAGACGAATGAATTATCATTTGAAAGCATTTACTTGACATTGTTTTGACGGCTAACAGCAACGAGTAAACACCGACAGTAAATAATTGTGAATATTGACACAAATTTCTGTTGACATCTAAAATAGATAAATAAAAATAAATAAAAAATAACTAGGTCTTCAGTGTTTAACATTTATTTTCTTAACAACTTGAAATACATGTATTCTGAAGCTAATTGTGTAGTTTAATCACGGATTTATATTACATTGTAATATAAATCCGTGGTTTAATTTAATATTTTTAAGTTGCACAGAGGTAGATCTAGAAGATATTTCTTTTTGAAAGACCCTGTAATAAATAATCGCCGCATATTGTTTCTAAATTAAGAATTGTCAATAACTTATGTACAAAATTGTACTGCATTGGAGAATTAATTAAAGAAAATGCGCCATTAATTAGAAATGATCTATATAAAGTTATCGGAAATAATCAGATAGAAAATAATTATCAGTAATTGAATATACTATATAGTCTGTGCTTTAAATTTACGCAGTGCCTATGTTTTTTTCCTTTATGTCAACCTACCATAATGCTGTTCATTCAATGAAATTTTTATTTTTAAGTAATCAACTTTTATTTTATTTTGAATTTAATTTGTTCAACGTCGCACTGGTCAACACAGTAGGCCTACTCAGTAGAGGTGATATGGCGAAGGTGCCTATCACCATCCGTACCATATAGTTGGATAGCTATAGCTTCCTCACACGAAAGAATCCTGTTCCTATCGGGATTCAAACGTTGAGGGACAAGTGCTTTGTCTAAGTCAACTTAACTACTCGGCAATGGACGCCCCTAAAAAGACTGGATTGGTCGCTGACTATATTTTTCTGATTGTTATAGCTTCATAGCTCGAATTTAACCTAAAACTTTAAATTTTGGCATGTAAGGAAGCTATGAAGCTGGTGAAACTTATCCCTTGACCTATTGTAATTTTGCAATGACATTTACCCTCTTTTAAAACTGGAAGAATTAATTCAAAGAGATATTTCAATTTCAAAATAAAAACTTTCGGGTTCAGCAGATTAATGGTTGAATTCTCCGATGTAGTTCTATTCATGTATTATATAGGTGTCCGTTAAAGACAAAAATATCTCGACGAATCTCGGAATGGTCGAAAACTCAACTGATCGAAAATGGAAGTTGGACATTTGCTTCCAAGTAGACTGAATAATGCACGGACATTCGCTGGATGTCCATATATACGATAAGTCGTTATATATAAAACCAATTCGGTTACAATAAGAAAAACAAGTGATTAATGTTGAGTATGTGAGCTAATAGAGATATATCTTCTTTTTTTTAAATATATTGATAATTTTTAATTAATGATCCGGAGACAGACATGTACCTGATTCTACGGCAGCGTATGCGTTATGTTCGTTCATCATTAATGATTAAGGGAAGCAAATCGTACATACATATCAAACTATTTAAGACAGAGTTTTCACAAATTCGATCCTAATGAGAAATCAGACAAAAATATATTTTTCATTGTAGAATGCTAATTAATTTAAATGTAGGAAGGTCTTCCATTAAAGCACATTCACTTCTGTGATAAAACGCCCCTGTGATATTCATGTACTTCCGTTGTCGTCTGCAATAGTTTCTATGAGCAGGCCTAATTTAAGTAAAATAGCTTGCTTGACTCTTCTATATTTGTGTTTTTCAAAATGCTTGCCAGTTTTCTTTAATGATCGTTTTTATAAATATTTTATGTCATATAAATATTTTATGTCATTAAGGATCCTATTATATTTGGAACGGATATTAATTATAATTTTCAGTAAGGAGAATGTACGCTGCATTTATGAATTTTATGTCAATCTCTGGAACGAAGTATCACTAAAATCAGGCATACTTGCTACATTTTTTTCTTCTTAACTTTTTGCAGCTTTAATCTATATAATTTCATTGATCAATCCACTTCTAACAACACCGCTTTAATCTTGAGTTTTATTTATTATGATACTTCTTAATCTTGAGCATTAATCTCTGCTTCCTAATAGGCTCAATCAACTTTAATGGTGTGTCTATCACTTAAAGACAGCACGAAAAACAAATCCTGTCAGTGGTTTTCACAAGTTTTCGAAAACCCGTTGACTTGTGTTTTTAGCGGGATTGAAAAAAATCTAGACGTGTGTCAAATAAAGTGACAACCTTTGTGACACTAAATAATAACAGTAATCAAAATTACAAAAGAAAAATAAAACAAAATGAATTTCTGCAAGATTTGTATTTGATGTATGCATTATTAGCTGAATGTAACGTGAACTGTGTTGAAAACGAATATCATTTCTTTTTTGATAAGTTTACCCTTAATACGAATACGAATACGAATACGAATTTTATTAAGCATAAAACAAAATGCATTGCTTATAGCCAATTTACAATGATACACATGTACAGTGAGAAAAATAGCAGTTAACAATTATACACAAGTTTTCTGAAGAATATGTGTGTCTTAACATGGTGGTAATTGGCAAACATTGTACATATTTTTAAAAAAATGTTATCCTGCTTTGAAAAAAAATAGAGTTAAAATATAAAATATTTTTTGTCATGTTTTCTTGTGTATACTTGCGCGTTGATCACGGTACGAATTACGCAACTAAGTGATGACAGGACGATCATGTGTAGACGACATTAAACCGATATCTGGACGTGTCCATTCGTAATATTTTGATACAATAAGGAAAACTGAAAAAGAAAGATAAACTGTATATGATACAACTTTTAAAAAGTGTCACTGAAGGGATGCAGATCTTCATAACTCGTGCGAAAAATTAACCTTTCAGTTTTGTTCCATTATAATTGTTGTACATTATACTAATGTACAAATACATTTGTATCCATAAAGATATGTATTAACAAAAGATTATGCTCAAAATAAACTGTATTTTCTAGAAATTATACAAATTTTAGGGCTCGAAAATGTTTAGGTGCTTGAAGGTAGATACGACAAAAAAGCATATTAATTTAATTCGATGTGTATAAGGGAGATCACGTTTTGGGAATACTAACAGATTATTTATTTTAAGATGCTTGACTTTCGAAAAATTGCTTTCATCTTACATATCATATTTTGCTCCAATGACTGCTGACAGATAGCTTCAGAACCCTAGAAGATGACATAACGACGCAGACCAATTATAATGTTGGCCAATTAACCCACATTAAATATTTTATCTATATTTGTAAATTCAATAGCTTCCATTCAAAACAAAAAATGTAAGAATAGATTTTCAAAACACTCCGCCTTTTGAAGTTGCAAAAATTAGCAATATCAGCTATTGTAATTGTATGTATTGTCCAATTGGGGTTTTGTTATGTATTGTATGATCAAATTAGATAAAACAAACTTTTGCCGACGTGCTTTTACCTGAAATAATCTGTCATGGAACTATAAAAATAAACATTTTTTATTATAATTATTACATTTGAATTACCATACAATGATCTTGTTAATTTTTGTGTTTTCAGAAGTGCCATTGTCAATAGATAATATTACTTGATACTACATGTAACAAATTCAATTAAGAATAATAGTTAAGGTTAAATAGTATTATAATTTTAATTAAATTACATAATATTTTTCAGCATTTGACAAAACTTATATAAGGTTATAAAATTATGTCAGTGTGGATTAGCGACCCTGATGTAAGTGTGGATTAGCGACCCTGATGTATTTATTTTGACATCCAGGAGATTACTGTAAAACTTTTATTACTAATAAGTTGTTGCTAACACATCAGTCAATTGTAGCCCCGGTCTTTGCCCCGGTAGCTAGCGGAGAAAATATGCTTCAGCCCGGGCTAAAAAATATGCAGCGTTCGCAGTGTCGGAATTAGCAGGGACTTTAGGAATTTATGGTTCACGTAGGGCGAGAATTTTAGTTACAAAATCATTCCTTTTCCCATGATCTTTAAAGGGACTCCACTGAGGTTTTTTGACATGATGGGACTGAAAATACTTTTTTTCCAGATAAATGTACTATTTGATGTAGGTTTAGACCACTAATCTTTGCGCAAAATTTCATATCATTCGCGCGCTTTGTTTTTCCAGAATAGTTATTCAAAAGAAAAGCATAAAAAGTACGATTTTCAATTTATTTCAAAGTATATTTCTTAACTATCTTTGCATATATCCTGTTTAAAGTGCCCCAGCTCATTTATGTAAGAAATTCAAATATTATGTTTTTAAGCTTTTAAACCTCAGAGGAGTCCCTTTAACCACTAATATGACACTTCACTTTGTATTGAATTTACTAAATAATATTTGTATCATGTGTGGAAAAAATAGACGGTTAAGATTACAAATGTATGTCGGTGTCAGCACGTTTTTTGGCGTATCAGAGATGTAGATAATGTTATGTTATTTATGCTATTGGCGTATTTACTTGAAGGAGAAGCAATGATAAAAAAGTTTGAACCTGATTATAAAATTAAGTATCCCCCGCCCTTCCTTTCAGCAGCAAGGCAAGGTCCGATATTGAAATACTAAATATTTGCATATTGTATTTCCAAATGCTTCTCATCACATGTTTATTATCAGTAAATGATGTCATGGTTAATAGGGTAATGTCCACTGTTGAAGAAGCGACGGGTATCACAAGGGTTATGTGTTCGAGGCCCGGTCAGGTTGCAAATTTTATCCACTGTAAAAACGTATTACACTTCAAACAGTACTAATTAAGATTCTAACATAATTCAGTTAACATATGTTTGAAAGTGACGGGATTTTAAATAAAACACATTTTTAAATTGTCTGCTAATTATAAGCTCGATCAGTTATGACATTTTTATTCCCGCTTTGTTCATATTTAGTCATTATATTCATTCACTATGATTACTTCCGAACTGATATAACTCACTATGATTACTTCCGAACTGATATATATCTTAACTTTATGGCCTCGCATACCTTGCATTCTATCACCAGAACGAGGCTAACTAAGCATGAATATAAACAATAATGGCTGACCACCTGATAAGCCCAAGCGTGTTACGCGTAATGGGAAAATCTTCTTCACATTGTTGTGTACCACTTTGTTATTCAGATGCTAGATATGATAATACAATTCATTTTCATAAAATACCTAAAGATGACACTTTGAAAAAGCAATGGATTTTTAATATTAGAAGAGATGAAGGGGAACATTTCAAGGTAATTTCCGCGGTTTCTTATTACATCTGGTGTAACTACATAATAAAGTCATAAGCTAACTTTCTATATTACCAAAAATACTGTGGTGAATAGTATTTCGACTATGAATAAGAGAAGCTTACTGTAAAAAAACAACAGAGTTTCTAGATAGGTTTATGAAAATACCAGTACATTTTCACTTGTATTGGATCAGAATACATTTTAACAGCACGTTATGTAGGTCACTCTATAATTAACATATTTTGACGTCTGAAGATAAGTTCTTGGACATTCTTCGACCTGGGTCAAAATCTCAAAATACAGTAAAATGACTCAACATCCCCGAGTCCTTACAAATTCCGTATTTATACCTCTTAGCACAGACAATGATGTTTTATGAATATTTTAGATCAGTAGCACAACAGTTGTTTGTTCCAAACATTTCAAACAAGAAGATTACACATGGACACCAGTTCGGAAATGTCTTAAGCAAACAGCTGTACCCACAGTGTTTGATTGGAGAAATGAAAGACCATCAAGACGAAAGCAGAGGAAGATTTTGTCAGGTGAAAGGTATGTTCGATGACAACGACAATTAACATGTAATCTGTAGTCGTAATTGTTTTAAGCGGAAGTGTACACCGGAAGTTACCGGCATAGCTTGTATTTTGGAGAATTGTTTCAAAAACACATTTTTATCGTAGTTTTACTAGTAAATAGCACTTGTTTCAGAATGTCAACCTCAGCAAGTAGTAAAGGTGAAACTTCTGGAGGTAATGCATCCGATGACAGCAAGAAACGCTCTAGTCCAATGGACGAAGAAGGAGAAGATGCAGACAAAAGAAAAGGCAACAAAAGAAAAAGGGCAAGGGTATGTGTGATTAATCAAAACGAGTAGTTTTTGAGGTTACTAAGACTGCTTTTGCTTTTCTTCAATTGAATTTCACTCTCAACTAGAATTGCTTGTAAATGACAATTCAAACCTTGCCTTTCAGCCTTTTGTAATGTTGCATAAAACAATGAAAACAGTGACAGGGCTTGCTTATATGAAAGTTGGCAAAGCCTAATATGAAATTAGGCAATGCCTATGAACGGGGAAGTCGTTAAAAATTCCTTTCATTCTTTCCGTTTTAAAGGTGTCATTCGGTATTACATGCACCGCTTCCGTTTTCACTCGGAACACTCGACGATTATCATTTATCCGAAAAGTTGAGATTTGTTCCGTTATCGGAATACCCCTCCTATTATTATTGAGTTACATTGAAAATGGCGGCGCCCGACTAGAACTGACACTGAAACTTTCTTTGATAGGTTAAAATTCTCTACATTCTTTAATTGCTTTTTTATTTAAGTTTCTTTTAATATACACCTGTAGTCTATAGCCGGGCAAGCCAAAGCCCGGGCCCGCGAAGCGGGCCCGGTCTTTGACTTCCCCGTATAAATGGAAAAGTCAGATTAAAAAATTTCTGTTTATTTTTGGGTTTTATCATTTTTCGTTTTAATGATGTCATTCCGTATTTTACATATCGTTTCTGTTTTAAATAAAAACACCTTGACAATTTTTCCTTCTTAGGCTGAAAAGTTATGATTGTTCTGTTTAATATTGTAGTAGTTTGCATTTTAAATGCGTATTTAAGCCAAATTCCTTTTGTTTTTACTTACAATACTTTTAGTTATTGATATTACATGGGCGCAGCCATTTTGTTGTTTATGCCGAAGTTAATATGGTACGGCTTTATTCATTGGTTATATTATTTTATTTTTATCCGATGTTTAATTGTTTACTTGGTCACGTGATTTTTGCACTTGTATTCACTATATAAACTCGTGCATTTCTTTATTTTGCCAGCTAGGTGTATTGGCCTTCCGGTACTCCTTCGAAGCCTAGTGCTTCAACTTAATTTGAGAATTTATTTCTCTTCATTTTATTTATGCTAATTGCAAAATAAATAGATCTCTTATTGTTTAAATATCATAGGGCAATTCTTTTTATAAACTTATAAATTATCGTAATCTTAATTAGAAAACATAGGATTTCTATATCTATATAATTATTCATTCACTCAATTAAATTTATAGTTTGAATTTAAAAACTTGTTGTTGTTTGTTTAACTTGTATATTTCCAATTCCACTATACGGCCAAATTATTTAAGAAATATTCTGCGTGCTGGTACAATATCATAATACCTCACATGTTTTCCATAGATTTTCATTAAGAATGGTTGCACTTTGCCGCAAATGACACTGACAATTTTACTGATAGCATATACATATCTGTATATTTTTTAAATTTTAATTGAAACCTTACACGTGTGAAGTTTATAAGCAAGCATGGCAAAGCCCCGGTCTTGGACAGTGGGGCGTTGCTGTCACCAGTATGTTAAAGTATTAACTATTATGCAATTTCTTCACTATTATTATCTGATGTGAATTTTGAGGCTTTGCTGTCTGCCTGTCATCAGTATTTTAAAGTATTAGGTAATAACTATTATGCCATTTCTTCACTAGATATTATCTGATGTGACATTTCTTTTATTGCTATTTTTCCCATTCTCACTTCTCAGCAGTTCAAATCACACTTATTGTATACTTTTTACTGCTTTTCAAGATATTGCCACAAGACAAATTGCATTTTGCCCACATTAATTTTTGTAATATGATTTTAGGTTGAAAGTAAAGAAGTAGAGGAAACAGCAATTAAAATCTCTGATGATGAAGAAGAAGCCGCCTCTGATGCTGATAAGAAGGATAAAGCAGTTAAAGTAGAGGTTAAAGATGAAGTTGACAGTGATGAGGACCCTACTAGCAGTCTGAAATGTGATCCCACAGGTAAAAACTTTATTAAATCTTACATCTAATTTCGTATTCAGTCTGTCACTTGCGAAGAAATTGGTAGTAACTGGTTAGTTATCCAAAAAAGCCAGTTAGATGTAGCGACTAAACTGTGTTTCAGTGGCATAAAAACCAAACCGACAAACACACTTATTCATATATTAAAGATGAAGATTTTAGTGGGTTTTTTTACGACCATTGATAGCTGTTCAAGAAAATTGAATTTTGTTTTGTGAGGAAAGACTTAAGATTTTGCCTTTCAGTTTCAGTTTTAGCGAATATTTTATGACACTATTGCAGACAAAGATTGTTGTTTACTTGCTGAATTTCTAGAATAGAATTGTTCAACTTTCATTATGAAACAGTCCATTTTCAGAGGTGGTCAGCCAAATGTATAGAGCTTAGTCAGACTGAAAAACTGGTTGGAAAACCTTTAAATTGGTGGGAAAGGCTTTTGCAATTTCTGCTTCAGTGTTGCTAGAGTTTAAGATAAGCCCAAAGGAAAACCATCTGATTCCGTAATACATACTTTCTAAGATACTGTTTAATTGTACAGGTTTGGAAGGGGCTGCATTTCAGAGTCGGATGCCATTTGACAAGATGACATCACAAGAGGCTGCATGCTTTCCGGATATCTTACAGGGACCACCACAGACACAGAAAGTCTTCCTTTATATCAGAAATAGACTGGTATACCTCTAGTCTAACTTTCTTATATTAATTGATTTAGATTTGATTGAGGTTGTTATCTTTTTCATTTTAGTTTTACTCATACATCTATGCTGGTATTTATTTTAGGTACATTGTGATAATAGTGATGAACATATGTGGAAAAGCGGGATGTTGGTTTCATATGTTATTTTTGTCAAAATTTGAAACAAAGTTTTGAACCTGGTTTGAATTAAAACATAGCATTCAATTTGCTTACATCCTCACCTGCTGAATTTTTTCGGTGGACTGCTTCGAATTAGGAACAGTCCAATTGATGTTTAAGTGATTGCATTGTCTTACCTGCTATATACTTGTGGCAAAGGCTAATCACTTTTAGTTCCAGGAGGTTAATGGTTAAAAACTGTTAAATAGTATAAGACAAATTATATAAGTATATGAAAAATATTAAATATATTTATTTCAGTTACAAATCTGGCTAGACAATCCAAAACAGCAAGTGACATTTGAGAATGCTCTGCCTCAAATAGAAGAGCCTTTTAATAGTAAGTATTTTTCTCTGTATTTTTTTTTTCTCCTTGACCTTGCATTATGTGTTGCACGTCTTCTGCATATTCAATTTATATGTGATTACTAATTTATGTTAATAAGATTTTCTCTATTTATATGATTGGCAGGAATAAATGTATAGAGCATCTGCTTTAAGTTGTTCAGCTTTAAGTGCCAAAAAGAATCCCCTAAACATAAGGCTCTTGTTTCAATAACTGCACTGCTGTACATCTGCCAATGGTATTTTCAAGTTTTTGTTAGTTGGCTCAGTATTGATGGCAAATGTTATTCATGCAGCATGGCCGAGTGGTCAAAGCGTCAGACTAGTAATCTAAGGATTGCTGGCCGCATGGGTTCAAACCCTATCAGGGGCAAGCCATTGTTTCCTTGAGCAAGACACTTTACATTCATTGCTTAGTACTGGTTGGTTCCAGGAACAGATTCAAGAGTGTTTCAATAAGCTTCCTACACAATCAAACTAAAATAAATTCATATAAACTAAATATTATTTAGTTTTAGTCTCAGCACTGAATAGGCTAAGGTCATATGATAGTTCTTAATGAAATTGGTTTGCATGTTTGTAATGAAAGTTGTGTAATTAATTTAACAGGTGATGGGCCTTTGGTGATGAGGATCCATTCATACCTTGAAAGATTTGGTTTCATCAACTTTGGAGTATTTAAAAGATTAAAACCTTTTCCAGGTAAAATAATGTTTATATTAAAATTAGCAATACCTGGAGTATCTTCAGAAAAAACATTGTTCAGCAGGTAAATCATGTTAAGATGAATTTTGATGGTTCTACTCTTTATGTGTATTTGAGTTTTTTTATACTCGCCACCAGTTGTCCATATGGGCAAGTCCTCCAAAAATGTATTAGTCATTTTATATTTTAGAAGAAAGTGTATGATAGAGATATTGAAAGCCTCCGGAGCTTCTCCTGGTTTTTTTAATGTGCCAAGTTTTTAAGCACTCGTATACGGACCTTGATTTAAAGTCTCATACGAAAGACTAATTTTTAGTTGTCCAGCCAGAGAATCAAACCCACAATTTTGAGATTACAAGTCTCGTGCTCTAACCGATTGAGCTATGCAGGCTGGCATGGTTCTACTCAGGTGACCATTCTTGCTTTAAATACATGAATGATACTATTATTTTTGTTTGTAATGTTACTTAAAAAGTTATTTGCTGTAGAGGGGTCTAATAAGACATTATTGTTTTTGTATGCAGCAAAGAAACATGGCCGGGTGATCATTATTGGTGCTGGAATAGCTGGTCTCTTTGCCGCTAGACAACTTATGCAGTTTGGCATGGATTGTGTCATTGTGGAAGCTAGGGTAAATAATAATCTTTATTTCATGCTTTCCAGTGTTTTATTGTAATATATCAGATGATTTTATTCTGATAAACCACTAGTGAAATTTATAAAATATAATTTTCACTGTAGCCGGACTATATCTGAATGCGGATGAAAAGAAAATTATAACTGAATGGAATAACAGGCAGATATAAATGCCGTCATGCATAAATTTTGCTTCTGTAGGTAAATAAAGTCGATGTCACCATACATTATGTTAAAAATGTAACAAAATTAGAGAAATTTAACAGAACTATATTTCAAAATTGTTGATGTGACGTCATGATGTGATGACGTCACAAAGAAGAAAAAGAAGCGGCAAAATCAGTAAAAATTACTTAAAATCACTTAACACGCATGAAATAAAAAGAAAATTTATTTGTTTTACATATAAGGTTGAAATATATTTCATTCGTGAACACCAGCTATTATATTTTCACTCGTGGCTACGCCACTCGTGAAAATATTGCATCTGGTGTTCACTCAGTGAAATTATATTTCAATCTTACATGCAAAACAAACAAATATCCTCTATCTACGTTGTATTGAGTGTAAATTAACTACAGGCATAGATATTTTTTCCTAAATTCATAACCTACTGAATCTGTGAAATGGATTAACCTGGCTTTGAATTTGGAAGAGTCCATTCAAAGTTTAAAGGATTTTATTACCAAACTAAAAATTGAGCTTTCAACAGTGTAGAGCCTGGTTAGACTGCAGGGTAGTACAGACTGGCCTGGCCCTATACTTATTAAATAAGCTGGTCATATTCTTTTAAAGCAGTTTTAGGGCTAAAGAGGGTTTTTTTTTCAATGTGAAATATATAAATTTTGTGAATGTTGAAATTTTAAAAATTTCTATTTGAGCTTGACAAATTGATTTTTATAATTGATTACAATACATCATCATACTAGTTTAACAAAATAGCCTATTAGAATAAGTTACATTGTACAATTATTACAATGTAACAATACAGTATATCTATTATATACCAAATGTAATACAGTATTGTAAAATAGAGCAATACAGCTGTGCAATACAAACAACCAGATACAATTTAACTATACTATTAGTTATAAAGATTTTTGACAGATTATATGGCTGTATATAAATAGTTGTTTGGAAAGCGGCTTGGGTTATATTGCAAACAACCATTTATATAAGGCCATATAACCTGTTAGGAATCTTTATAATGAATTTATATTACAGCAAACTTCTATTTTTAGGGAATAAATTGTGATTTCTTAGTAAAATAATAGCAGTCTTGTAAATAAAACTATATAAATGTCACAATTATCAAATGATAAGCGACGTTACAGAGATTGCATTATTATTACGTACAATGTAACAGTAAAACACATGAATGCCTATTTTTTTATATAGAAATACAAAGCAGCACAAACAAATGTATCAAACCAATACAACCCAATACAATATGAAAATACAATACTGTACAATACATTACTGTACAGTGCAGCAAGTAATTAAGAAATGATATAATGATATAAATTCATACAATTTTGTATCCTTGTGTAGATGTGAAAATGACTTCTGCATTAGTAAAATATTTACATTATGTTAATTGAATGTACATGTAATTCTAATAAAAAAAGGTTTTATGTTAATATTGTTGATTGTGCAGGATAGAGTTGGAGGACGGATAGCTACATTCAGGAAGGGAAATTATGTTGCTGATCTTGGAGCAATGGTTGTAACTGGACTAGGTATGATGCTTTTTAGACATACGGAAAATCATTTGTCTGCTGTAAATGTTGTCTTTTAATCCTTACCCTGCTTTAATCAGAAAACTGATAAGCCTTTGCCTAAATTTTCATGTATTCTGACCTGGATTTATTCTTTTGGCAGCCCCCAAAACTTATAATGAACAAGTCTGAAAATAGAATGTATATTGACCAATGAAAATCCTGAGATTCGAGACTGATCTCAGGAAAAAGTTTTATAATCTCCAGCCCAGGTCTATTTAAGAAATGTGGTAGGTTTAGGGCTAATTTGTATGATAGAAACCTCAGTAAACAGATCTAATCTAGGACTATTTTTAATTCTTTTAGATATAGAAAAAGCAGTTTGCTTTCCCCAACGGGTACCATCTTGTTCAAAATTATATACTTGTACAGTGCACTTATTAAGGTCTTCCTTGTTTTTGTGTTTTCTGTATACCAGGTGCACTTGTTTTTGAAATAAAACTAAATTTAAGATGAATTAAGTTCCTAACAAAATATCATTCCATGTATTATATATCTTTTTGGAGAAAATCACAAATTTTTATGATAGCAAGGTGTTTTCATTTAAACATGTTTCAAACAGTTTTCCTGTTAGATTCAATGTTCAGTAATTTAACCAGATGAGATATGAGTATATGTAATTTCAGGTGGTAATCCAATGACCATCATCAGTCGTCAGGTGAACATGGAGCTTCATAAGATCAAACAGAAGTGTCCTCTATTTGAGAACAATGGTGCAACGGTAAGTAATGAAAACTATTGAAATTATTGTACACTCCTGGTGAAGCCATGATATTTCTTTTTTTGTGTGTTTTTGGGAAAACTTGACTAGTTCTCCTACTATATTTCATTATTAGATGATAAAAATCTAGATTTCATTTTGGATGTTACCAATTTTCTTATCATGAGATTGGTACTTGTAGTAATAGTATCTTGTATCAATCTATCTTATATTGTTCATGAATTGTTCAGATATTTATTGGAGAATAGTTTGGTAACAAGCCTAGGCACCCTGACATAAGTGTAACACCTGGTAAAAGTTTTGTTTCCATCTTCATGAATCTTTGAAGGTATTCACATTAAATTTCAAATATGTCAAACTCACTAAAGGTCTCTCAAAATAAAAGATCCTGTCCCAAGGGCCATAACTTAAAGAGCTTCTGGTTAAAGTTTTGCATGTAAAATAATGTCCACCCAAACTGATGAATTCACATGAAGTTTTACTTATGTCTCAAAGATAGTATTTGACAGAATTAAGGCCCTTTTTGAACTTTTTACATTATCCAGGCTCTTGTTTACTAATAGTCAGCATGCTGTCTTACTTCTATTGTTCACATTGTCTTCACTTATATAGTTCACATATTCTTCACATGCATTGTTGTCATATTTTCTCATGTAGTGTTGATATATATTGTTCAGGTACCGAAGGAGAAAGATGAGATGGTAGAGAGAGAATTTAACAGATTATTAGAGGCCACCTCATACCTTTCTCATCAGATGGACTTTAACTATGTCAATGGTAAACCTGCTTCACTAGGCTGTGCTCTAGAGGCTGTTATAAAGTAGGTTCAGTAAAACTTGATAAAGTAGATTTCATTTTATATTTATATCAAACAACTGTTGTTGCAAATTTTGAATGTTTAAAAAAAATTGTGTTGTTTAAAATCTAGAAATTTGTTTCATTTGAGCAAATATGTGTCACAGGGTGAGGAAAATGTGCAGCCTGTCTGGGACTTAAACCCTGGACCCTCGGAAAACTGTTCCATGGCTTTACCGACTGAGCTCTCAGGCCACTTACACATTATTTCCCCTAAATAGTGAACAGTTTCGAACTGTAACATACTCCCCTGCTGTATTGAAATTCATCCTCAAATCTCTCAGGGTCACATGGTAATGTGAATTGAGCTCTGAGCTATATCAGTCTTGGTTCTCTGTTGGGTGCCAAATGTCACAGGGTGAGAAAAATGTACAGCCTGAGCAAGACCCGAACCAGGGACCCTTGGAATACCATTCCGCTGCTCTACCGACTGAGCTATCCTACAGCTTACACACCAGCTCTCTTACATAGTGAACAGTTCTGAACCATGACATACGGCTTTTTTATGCTCCCCGAAAAATTTCGAGGGAGCATATAGTCGGCGCCTTGTCCGTCTGTCCGAGCAAACATTTTGGGTTTAGGGGCTATATAACAGTAAAAAGAACAAAAGAGAACAATAGGTTCATTCCGTGATCAAAGGGTTTATGGGCTAGTAGCCCTTAAGAAAACAAAGAAAATAACAAAGAAAATAGCCCCTAAACCCAAAATGTAGGAACGTCCGTCAGTCCGTCCGTCTGTCCGTCCGTCCGAGCAAACATTTTGGGTTTAGGGGCTATATAACAGTAAAGAGAACAAAAGAGAACAATAGGTTCATTCCGTGATCAAAGGGTTTAGGGGCTAGTAGCCCTTAAGAAAACAAAGAAAATAACAAAGAAAATAGACCCTAAAGCCAAAATGTTGGAACTTCCGTCTGTCCGTCCGTTGTCTTGTCCGGAGCATAACTTGAAAACCCTTGGTGATAATTTGTTTAAACTTATACAGTGGTAGAGGGCATTGAGGGGGAGTGCAGTGTCAAAGAACCATAACTATTTTGCCCGGTTTTTTAATTATCTCCCCTTTTAGAAAAATCTTGTTCGGGGCATAACTCTAAAACTATAAGAGATATCAACATGAAACTTTGTAGGTGAATAGATCTCAATGGGTAGATGTGCAGTTCATAAGAACAATAAATCTTTTTGTCCTAATTTTGGAGTTATTGCCCTTTGTTAATTTCAACACTTTGAACTTTGTCCGGAACATAACTCTAAAACTGTAAGAGATATCAAGATGAAACATTGTAGGTAGATAGATCTCATTGAGTAGAAGTGCAGTGCAAAAGAACCATAACTCTGTTAAGCCTCATCTTTGAATTATCTCCCCTTTTAGAAAAATCTTGTACTGGACATAGCTGTAAAACTATAAGCGATATCAACATGAAACTTTGTAGGTAGATATATCTCAATGGATAGATGTGCAGTGCACAAGAATCATAACTCTGCCTTGCCTAATTCTGGAGTTATTGCCCTTTGTTTATTTTTACTTTTTGAAGTTGTCCAGAACATAACTCTGAAACCATAAGAGATATCAACAAGAAACTTTTTAGGTTGATAGATCACAATGATTAGAAGTGAAGTGCAAAGAACAGTAACTGTGCCTTGCCCAATTTTGGAATTATTGCACTTTGAACTTTTTCCACAGACATAACTCTGAAATTACAAGAGGTGTACTTTCCTGTGTCCAAAACCTATTCGGGAAGCATCACCTGGCTCAAACTGGGCTCTTGTTTTTAAGGTAAACAGATATACTCCAAAGATTTTTCAGTTTCATTATTTAGTACCATTGTGCCTACTTTTATTATGATCTGGTTGGAAGTGTAATATATGTTATTGACATGATGGTAATATCTTGTATTTCACCAGGCTACAGGAAAAACATGTAAAAGAGAAGCAGATTGAGCATCAGAAAAATATCATAGAACTTCAAGAAAAACTCAAGAAAAATCTCAACCAGGTTCGTACATAGTGTCCATTGGCTTTGTTACTCAAATATTTGAAGAATTATTTTACTAGCATCAGGGTAGCAATTAGTTGACTCTTTGAGTTCAACTTCTTATGTTATTAATCACTGATGGTTTTCATTTGAAAACAGAAACATGATGTTTTATCTGTTTCTCAACGACCCCCTTTTTACCTTCCGCGACACAAAAAACAACAACACTGTTGTATGTTATCAAGGTTCAGAATTGTACTGTTAATATGGGTTTCTAAAATTTATTATTTTTGTTGTTGAATGTGTATAATTGGGACGTTTCATGTTACTTTCTAATTTCTTGAATTCTACTTGAAATTTTACTGGAGTTTCTGTGTAGAATGAACTGGTAAATCAAAGTATATTATCAAAGTATATATATAAATATAGGATTAATAAAACATTCTGTTTTCAGTGTTTGGTGTTAAAGGATAGAATAGAGGAGCTACACAAACAATGGAAAGAGGCGTCAGAAGTTAAACCACCTAGAGATATTACCGCAGAATTCCTCATCAAGAGTAAATTAAGAGATCTCAAAGTAGCTGGCAAGGTATTGGTCAATATGAACAATCTATTGATTTCTTTTAAGCAGATTATGTGCTCAACATAAACATAGCTGTCACTTGATGGAATCTATTAACATATTAACCCTTTCATCGAGTTATTGACTTAATCTACTCTGAATTCGAAACAGTCTGTCATGTGTCAGTCATTATTTGTTTAATGTTTTAATATGTTTTGTAGGAGTATGATCAGTTGATAGAACAACAAAAAGAGATAGAAGAGAAAATAGCTGATCTTGAAGCCAACCCACCAAGGTATACTATACTCTTTTATCATTCTTCAATGATAAATAACAGTACAAATTACTAAGTAAATTGATTGTTTTACTTGACGTTGTAGTAAATGATGTCAGAGTTATTACTACTAACAAATATTTAAGATGGAGATGGTAGCTGATAAGTTGTCCTTTTGTCTATCTGTCTGCTGTCACTTAAGCTATTTGTCATAGGACCTTTATTTCTTGACTGATATTTCTGAGATATTAGGCATGTTGATTCCATTTATGGACATTTACCTTTGAATTGGGTTTCATTCAGGTTTCATGTTGATTTAGTAAAAGTCACTGAAGCTAAAATGTTACACTTTCTTACTTAACTTCACAGTAAGACCATATTGTTAGGGTTAATTAAAGGAACATCATGGAGTAATTGTCAATGTTCTTAATGATAAGACCCTGTTATTAACATTAAAGGACATCAGGAAGCATTTGGCAGTGTTACAGGTAATCCTGTTATTTTTTATTTTTTAATGCTTCTGCCAAATAATTCAGACATTTTTAATTATTTTTCTGTATTTTTGATATAAACTTTTAAAGCCGATTTTTTTTTTTTCCTCAGTGATGTTTACCTGTCATCACGAGACAGACAGATTCTAGATTGGCATTTTGCTAACCTGGAGTTTGCCAATGCCACACCGTTATCTCTTCTCTCATTGAAACATTGGGACCAAGATGATGATTTTGAGTTTTCAGGCAGTCATCTTACAGGTAATAAATAGTCATAGTAGAAATAATTTACCATTGATTATTTAAAAATATGTAGCTTTATGCTGATATGAGAAGTATAATACATACTTAGCTGTGTGACCTTTCCAACCACTGAACAAACCAGAACAAACCAGAAATGTCGAGCATGCATTCAAAGAAAACCGCCTCCGTGGTCGAGGGGTTAGAGTCGATGACTTCTAATCCAGTTACCTCTCTGGCGTGGGTTCGATCCCTGGGAGATGCTTTGGTAGTTTAGCGCGGAGGAAGGTAGTCTAGTACTGGTGTAACTCTCCAGGAACGATGGTTAGGAAACTACCCGCCTATATGACTGAAATACTGTTGAGAAAAGGCGTGAAATGAAACAAACAAACAAACAAACAAAAGCATTCAAAGAATAGTTGGGCTTTGCTTAGACAGACAGGCTTTGCCTCTGTCTAACACTTTGATTTAAGTTTTGCTGCAGCTTGCAATAATAAATATGTAGCTGAAGTTAATTACTTGAAAATTTATATAGTTCTTCAAGATCTTAACTGATTCTCATTATCCAAATACTATCACATTGAACTTTTACAGAATTATGCCATTCATGAACTTAAAGAACTTCTTGTTAAAGTTTAGTATGTAAAATCTGTTTTGGCACAAATTGTATGTATTCATGTCTCAAAGATTTTATTTGTTGCTCACTGTCACAGACGCATTATTCTAGCATGGTTTGTACTGAATTAAGCCCTTTTTGAACTAAGAGAGTTATAACTCGATGTCATGAATGAAATGTTCTCATCTGGGAATTCCTAGGTTATTAAGGCTGTTGTTTGACTATCAAGCAACGTTCTTTTCTATGGGCAACTCTTGTTTCTTTTTCTTTTTTTAATTATTAATTGTTAATTAAGTCTGGCTGTATACATATTGGTAAGTTATATTGATGAACGTATAATGTATTATGGAGGATTTTGTGGAACAGCATTCTATTGCTATTTTTAACCAGGTTTTCCGAAGGAAAAAACTGGTTATTAGATTGAGGTATGTCGGCGGGCGGGCGGGCGGATGGGCGGAACGGGCGGGCGGGCGTAAACAATTTCTTCTGTGCGCAACTCCTCCTACATTTCTCAACGGATTTTGACCAAACTTTCACAGAAGCTTTGTCATCAAGTGCCCTGGCGCATATTGTCGGGGTTTTGCGATTAGATAATATTGACCTAATTATGGCCCTTTGTTTTTTTTCCTTATATAGAATATATAGTGAACAATTTCTTCTGGGCGCAACTCCTCCTACATTTCTCAACGGATTTTGACCAAACTTTCACAGAAGCTTTGTCATCAAGTGCCCTGGCGCATATTGTCGGGGTTTTGCGATTAGATAATATTTGACCTAATTATGGCCCTTTGTTTTTTTTTCCTTATATAGAATATATAGTGAACAATTTCTTCTGTGCGCAACTCCTCCTACATTTCTCAACGGATTTTGACCAAACTTTCTCAGAAGCTTTGTCATCAAGTGCCCTGACACATATTGTCAGGGTTTTGCGATTAGATAATATTTGACCTAATTATGGCCCTTTGTTTTTTTTCCTTATATAGAATATATAGTGAACAATTTCTTCTGGGCGCAACTCCTCCTACATTTCTCAACGGATTTTGACCAAACTTTCACAGAAGCTTTGTCATCAAGTGCCCTGGCGCATATTGTCGGGGTTTTGCGATTAGATAATATTTGACCTAATTATGGCCCTTTGTTTTTTTTTCCTTATATAGAATATATAGTGAACAATTTCTTCTGTGCGCAACTCCTCCTACATTTCTCAACGGATTTTGACCAAACTTTCTCAGAAGCTTTGTCATCAAGTGCCTTGACACATATTGTCAGGGTTTTGCAATTGGTATATATTGGACCTAATTATGGCCCTTTGTTTTTTTTTCATTATAGAGAATATTATAGTGAACAATTTCTTCTGTATCGCAACTCCTCCTACATTTCTCAACGGATTTTGACCAAACTTTCTTAGAAGCTTTGTTATCAAGTGCCTGGCACATATTGTCGGGGTTTTGTGATTGGATAATATTTTACCGAATTATGGCCCTTTGTGTATTTTTTCCTTATACAGAATATAATAGTGAACAATTTCTACAGTGCGCAACTTCTCCTACATTTTTCAACGGATTTTGACCAAACTTTCACAGAAGCTTTGTCATCAAGTGCCATAGCACATATTGTCGGGGTTTTGTGATTAGATAATTTTTTACCTAATTATGGCCCTTTGTTTTTTTTCCTTATACAGAATATATATAGTGAACACTTCTTCTCTGCGCAATTCTGTGCGCAACTCCTACAATTCTCTAGGGATTTTGACAAAACTCTCGCAGAAGCTTTGTCATCAACTCTTGCTGCATGTTGTCAGGGTTATGAGATTTGATAATGTTTGACCTAATTATGGCCATTTATTTTTTTCCCTTATATAGAAATATATTGTTTTTGTTCCATATATAGAATATAAAGTGAACAAATTCTTATTTGCATACCTCTTCCTACAAACTATTTTGACAAACTTTCACAGAAGCTTTCTCATCAAGAGTCCTTGTGCATATCATCAGGGTTTTGTGATTTTGGGTGGGCAGGCAGGTGTTCACTTTAAAACAAATGCCCCTGCATGACGAAGCTTCTGTGAAATATTTTGCTGAAAACCTGGTTGCATCGCATTGCGATGTTCCTTGTGTTCTTTATATAAAGCTGATAAAAATATATGGTGCTTGTTATTTCAGTACGGAATGGTTACTCTTGTGTGCCAGTAGCATTATCCGAGGGATTAGATATAAAGTTAAATACAGCAGTCAGACAAATCAGATGTACTACTACAGGTAGCTTTTTGTATTGTCAATGTGTTTAAATACTGATGTTTTACCGTGTAAAAACTTTTTTTCCGTAACAGCAAGTACCTGTTGTTGTTTTTTTAATATTTGTAAGAATTCATCTTGAATTATCATGGCTTCATATTTTTACAAATTTTTATGATAATTTAGAAAGTATTTAAAATATTTAAAGTATAGTCTAGTGAACAAATAAATTGTTTTTGGCTGGTCTAGGGCACCATAAATACATATAATGATTTTAAATATGCAAAAATTGCCTTTACTTTGTTCATAACAGGATTGTAATTTTCTTACATGATCATACAACTGTGATGTCTTTACTTAAACATATAAACAACATATATGGTAAAATTTCTGTTCGTAACAGCCTTGCTCTTAGTACACTAAGATAATAAAAGTACATTTTGTTGTAGATATCATTTTAGTTATGTCTACATGCTGAAAGATTAGGGTTACTTGATTTCTTAATATGAAAATACATTTTTTTTGTACCACCTAGAGTGACAACAGTAATTTATAATCAGTAAGGAGTAATAATTTATATATTTGAATAATTCATATATAGGTGTTGAGATACTCACTAGTAATGCGAAGAACAACAGCAATCAACAGACATTAAAAGGTGATGCAGTGTTGTGCACGTTACCTCTAGGCGTGATGAAGGAGAGCGTACGTGGAAGCGGTACAAATAGTGTACAGTTTATGCCTCCATTACCCGACTGGAAGGCAGCTGCAATACAGAGAATGGGTTTTGGCAATCTTAATAAAGTATGCTCATTATTATAGCATATCTATATAATACAAATATGTGCATAAATATATGAAGCTCTCTCCTTTTTATCCCCCGCCGAAAAATTTCGGCGGAGGATATAGAAATAGTCTCCGTCCGTCCGTCCGACCTTCCGTCTGTCCATCCGTCCTTCCGTCCGACATTTTTGTCCGGAGCATATCTCTAAAAGTATTTGAGTTATCAACTTGAAACTTCATAGGTGGATAGACCTCATTGAGGAGGAATGCAGTGCACAAGAATGATAACTCTACCTTGCATGATTTTTGAGTTATTGCCCTTTGTTATTTTTCAAAATTGGTTTTTGTCCAGAGCATAACTCCAAAAGCCTATGAGATATTAACATGAAACTTCATAGGTGCATAGATCTCACTCAGGAGGTGTGCAGTGCACAAGAATGATAACTCTACCTTTCATAATTTTTGAGTTATTGCCCTTTGTTATTTTTCATACCTAATTTTTCACCTGAGTGGAGCATTACTCAAAAAGTGTTTGAGATATCAACATGAAATGTCATAGGTGGATAGATCTTGTTGAGGAGGAATGTTGTGCACAAGAATGATAACTCTTCCCTATACAATTTTTGAGTTATTGCCCTTTTTTTCCATGCTATTTTGTCCAGAGCTTATCTCAAAAAGTATTTGAGGTATCAACTTGAAACTTCAAAGGTGGATGGATCTCATTGAGGAGGAGTGCAGTGCTTAAGAATGATAACTCTGCCCTGCATTATTTTTGAGTTATTGCCCTTTGTTATTTTTCAAAATTGATTTTTGTCCAGAGCATAACTCAAAAAGCCTTTGAGATATCAAAATGAAACTTCATAGGTGCATAGATCTCACTCAGGAGGTGTGCACTGCACAAGAATGATAACTCTACCTTTTATAATTTTTGAGTTATTGCCCTTTGTTCTTTTTCATACTTAATTTTTCAATTCAATTTTTTTCTCAAAAAGTATTTTTTTTATAGATTTTACTGAGGAGGGATGCAGCACACAAGAATGATAACCTACCCTGCATTATTTTTCAGTAATTGCCCTTTGTTATTTTCAGCCATCAGTATTCACATAGGTTTCAAATCTGTAATCACTATAGCCATCAGTTTTCATTACCAAAAGACCTCTTAAAATGGAATTATTCCGCTCTACTACATATACATTCTTCCAATGAGCAAACACATTCGGCGGGGATGGCCATGTTGACATGGCTCTTGTTCAATGTAAAATTGATTGAGGTTTGTTTGTGCATTGAAGAATCTTTAAAACAAAATCTTTACTTTGTTTCATAATAGACAATTTGCTTAGCTCATTAGGGAGAACTTCGGATTTGTAATCCAGGGTTTTCTGATTCAATCTTTGCATGAGGGGAAATTTCTTTGTGACATTTGATGTTGGACATTGAATATAATGGTCATTTCTCAGTCAGAAATCATGTGGAATTTGTTGTCATTCACATGCAGAAAAATTGGTTATTACTGGTCAATTATCTAGGAAAACTTGATTGAATGGTTAAGGTCGTCAACTTTAAACCACTACCCCCTCACTCCTGTGGTTTTGAATCTCGCCAGGGATTTTGGATTCTTTTATGTGAGAAAGCTATCTAGCTAGCTTACACAAAATTGTTGGTTCTACTCAAGGGCACGTTTATGCCTGAAGGTCACCTGAGGTCTTTCTTTACTAGTTAAGCCAGATAGTCACTTTCCATTATCAACTTCCGGGATGTCAGATTTGAAGCAGACTGATTATAAAACATGGATGTGTCGACTGACCAGAAACTATGCTTACGTGAAGGCAAACTAACGGAACATAAATTCTTATTTTCCTTTTAGGTAGTGCTTTGTTTTGACCGGATATTCTGGGACCCAAATGCCAACTTGTTTGGTCATGTTGGTAGTACAACAGCAAGTCGTGGGGAGTTGTTTCTTTTCTGGAACTTGTACAAGGCACCAGTACTACTGGCTTTAGTTGCCGGTGAGGCCGCAGCTATTATGGAGAATGTTAGTGATGATGTAATAGTGGGTAGATCTATTGCAGTATTAAAAGGCATCTTTGGCAACAATGCTGTTCCTCAGGTATTGAAAATTTACTCTAATATTTCTGTTTAGACATATCTCATGTTTATTTTTCTGGTTAAAAATTGTTAAATATTTTTTACAATGATTCATCTGAAGTTCTTCATGATATTCATTCAACTTGGAAATTTGGTATTGAATCCTACTAAAACATTTAATCTAAAATTGGCGTACCCACAGAATATACATTTCAATGTTAATTATAGCAGCCAGAGGTGCTTGGTGACTCTTTTGATTTTTTTTTAAATTTAAAATCTACCTCTTTCAGCCAAAGGAAACCCTGGTTACAAGATGGAGAGCTGATCCATTTGCCCGAGGATCTTATTCGTTTGTTGCGGCAGGCTCGTCAGGTATACTAAATGACTTTCTATTTTAATTTATCATATTAATATACAGCATATAACTATTTGATCATACTAAGATACTTTGAAACTGTCATCTATAAAGTTGTGAAGCTTGTGTCAAAGTCTTTAATATTTTAACCATTTTAGTTTCCTTGAAATAATTTTATAAGCTAGCCATGATTCTATGTGGTTTTAATAGAAGATTTATTTGAAGTAAGAATTTGTTGTTTACATTGATACAGGGAATGACTATGACCTGATGGCGACACCCATATCCCCACAGCAAGGTGCCATGCCCAGGTTGTTCTTCGCCGGGGAGCATACAATACGTAACTACCCCGCAACAGTACACGGTGCCATGTTGAGTGGATTGAGAGAATCTGGGAGAATTGCCGACCAGTTCCTCGGGGCTCCGTACGCACTTCCAAATAGACAACCATCACAAACAGTCTGATCATGAACAATAACAATTTGTGAATAATTGATATTGTGCTCAAAATTGTGCTCCGATTGGTTCATTTGGACCAAGTCACGTGGTTACTGTACATACCTAAACAATAAAGATATTGCGGAGGCAGTTTACATGTATAAGCATCCAGTTCGGAGTTTTGTATGTTGTTACCAGCTCTTTTTGTTTAAGTTTGTACAGGACATAAGTATGCCTACCATATTTGTTGTGTTATTGGAGACGAAGCACACTATGTGTTTTGGTAGGATTCTCTTTGCAGTTCTGGTTGCTTCTGTTTAAATAACAAGATCTGAAAAGTGATGACTTATGTTACATGAAGCTCTGTTCAGCAAACACTGCACTGCCCAATACCTTGATAGTGTTCATTTTTTGAGACAATGCCATATTTTTTTTTATTTTTTTGTTATGAATTCAAACATTCATGTCAGAACACAGCACGACTTCTTGATTTTTGTGCTTTTTTAGCTCGACTTTTCTATGAAAAGGGGAGCTATCCTACTCGCCCCGGCGTCGGCGTTGGCGTCACACCTTGGTTAAGTTTTTCGTACCACCCCACTTTATTTCAGAAGTATTACAAGTATGGCTTTGAAACTTACCATACTTGTTCACCATCATAACCTCCATCTACAGACAAGAGTACATAACTCTGTCAAGGTTTTTGACAGAATTATGGCCCTTTTTTGACTTAGAAAGTGTATTGAGCTTGGTTAAGTTTTTTGTACCACCTCACTTTATTTCAAAACCATTGGAGGTATTGCTTTGAAACTGACCATACTTGTTTACCATCACGACCTTCATCAACAGACAAGAGGACATAACTCTGTCAAGGTTTTTGACAGAATTATGCCCCTTTTTGACTTAGAAAATACATTGAATATGGGTAAAATCCACTTATTGCCTTAACCCTTTGAGATATTGCTTTGAAACTTTTAATGCTATTTCACATCATTACCCCCATCTGTACGCAAGAGAAGGTAACTCTGTCAAGGATTTGTTTTAAAAATTAAGGCCTTTTATCGACTTAGAATCTTGGTTAAGTTTTTAGTACCAGTCCACTTTTTGACTGAACTGTTTGAGATATTAATTTGAAAGTTGGAATACTTGTTTACAATCATGATTCCTAAACATGTCCAGGAGAAGGTAATTCTGTCAAAGATTTTATTTGAATTATGGCCCTTAACTGTCAATGTTTTGTATTATAGGCAAGCACTAAAAAACTTAAAAAATCTAAAAAAATTCATTCCTATCCACTTGTTCACTTTACCATAAATTATGTCATAATAAAATAATTCTTCACTAAATATCTTAATGCTCATGGCCATTGTTCACTTTAAAAATACAGAGATTCTTGTATTGCCTTTTACTGCAAAAACTTTTTTTATTGGCAAGCAATAAAAAAGTCGAGCGCACTGTCTTACGGACAGCTCTTGTTTCATTTTTCATATGCTTAAGTTTTACATTATACATAAACATCCTGCTTTTGGTCAACAGAAATACCTTACTATCATAGGACTTGTAATTATCATTTTTCTTTTAAACTGTCATGTTTCTGTACCAAGTGCAAATTCCATCAAAATCTGTTACTGTTAGATATTTGTCATGTTAAAGGTATTCCTTATCGATTAAATTTTGTCCTTTGAAAGAAAGGAAATCCTGTATTGAGACTTTGTGCTTTTTTATGCTCCCTGAGTAATCTAAGCATTCTAACTAAATATATGGTTGATGGAGTAAATGCCTATACAAAGAAAGAGGAAAGCGGTATGTTTGAAATGTTTTGGACACCATATGAGCAGGATTTGTGTTCTTGACCAATTATATCTTAATTATAGTGATAAAAGTTTTTATTAATTGTGTTGAAATGGTGAATCTTGGCACCAGATCATAAATTCCTTCAGTAAACTAGCATGGACATAACATCAGTAAGTGCCCTGGCACATATTTTTGTGAGGTTGGTGATTTTGTGGGTAATTAAGGCCATTATAAATATATATTGAGTCCATTTGTATGTTCAAGCACTGTTGAGCCAAAGCTCCTATCATATTTTATATCCATAACTCCATTATATCAGTAACTAATATACAAATGTACAGCAAAGAAATAAAAAAAAAGTTTTACATTAATTTTTATTTTTATGCTTAGAAAGGCTAAAATTACCGTACTCCGCCACAGGCAGTGATGGCTATTTAATGGAGAGGTATACCTCTCTGTGCACACATCGTACATTTTCCAAAGATTTCCAGAATTTTTGTCCTTTCTTGTGATACAGACAGTAATACTTTTCTTCTGTGTACAACAACTGCGTTCCTAAAGTGATTTCAAACAAACTTCACACAACTTTTGTTATCAGGTGCACTCTGGTACATATTGTCTTGTAGGAGTTTTGTGATACAACCATTGTCATCAGACGGAAAAAGAAACTTTCTTAATTCCAAATTAGCAGACAACAGGCTATTCACATCAGGAATTTTATGAGTAAAGATAACCGGTTTGGTATCTCACTGTATTAAGAGTATGTAAAATGGTCTAACTTATGGTAGGTTTAACAGTTAATTTAAATATCTTTAATGTCAACCGATGTGTTGAAGTTTATATGGAGACGAAGCTAAAAATTGGTGTAATAATTTTTAAAATCGGACATTAGATCGAAACAAACTAGTGGTTTAAACATGGCTTAATTTATAATATTTTACCTTAAGAGATATCGATTTTATTTGAAGATAATGGAAACAACTCTTATTTTTTCACTCTTTACATGTATACCTTCGTTATTTACATAGTACATATAGAGACTGGTAATGGGGTGTACTGTCTTCTTATTTAGAATAAATAACAATAACAACAACATTTTCTTGATCTTTTTATGAATCTGATCACAAGTGTGTGCAAAACTGTATCATGAAAACATATTTACAACAATAACTAAAATATAATTCATTATTTGTATAGTAAAAACCTTAACTGGAAAATATTTGGTAGCATTTTACTAAGTGGTATTACAGTTCAATGTAAAATATTCTCCTATTTAATTTAGATTAATTTTAATTAAACTTTGGCATAACATTTTTAAGACTAGCAACTTTGAAATAAACAATTTATACATCATATGATGAAAAACAAATGGTAAATGCATTTCAAAATTGCATTTTAATAAAGTAAGTTATAAAAACATGTTGTAATTAAAAAAATGTTGGCCTGAAATGATAAAAAAAAAACATTTCATGTAGCCAGTAGTGTTTCCATAATAAAACTGCTGTTAAAAAATGTTAAAAGTATTTTCTGAACAGGAAATAAAATGTAAGGTTAAAAATATAAGGCACACATATATCCTGATATGTTTGTCAATACAAAAACTTAAGAATGTAAGAATTTCACTTAACCTTTCACCTGCTGAATTTCTAAAATGGACTTCTGCTGAATTTCTTAAATGGACTTGTCCAGTTTACAATTTTGGACCTGTCCATTATCAATTTTGGGGATATCAAGATGAAAATTTAAAATTGCGTCTGCCACCAGTATAAAGCCTCGTCAGACTGTGTATGTTCAGGCTGGCCTGGCCTTTTACTGGTACCAAAGGACACAAACACTTTTAATTCCAGCAGGTCAAGGGTTAAAGTCCATCTTGAATAATAAAGATATTACTACAACAACACATTCATACAATATAACGCACAAATCATATCAACATTAAATACACCTTTCTATATGCAAAGAATTTAGATATTGCACACTATCTCATGTTTGTGTATTTTTTATCCTAACGACATGCATGATGAATGTACAACATAGTAAAAATTCCTTTTAATAAAAATTGGCAACAATTGTTTAAAAAAATTAAAAGCATTTGATTTCATTAAAAATGTTGAAATTAATTAAATGCTTCATCAAAATGATAAACTGTTTTGTGTAGTTTTCTTACAATGTAGTTTTTTGAAATGATTCTAAACATTAAATATTCATTTTCAAATAATACTGGTTTAGACAATTTTAAAAGGAAAATTATCTGACCATTTGCCTAAGCAAAGCTATTTTACCAAATTGAAATATAAAAAATTTCCTTTTTCCAATTGCTTTGACAATAAATTTCTGATCAGTTCTCTTGAAACAATTTTTGTTCTAAATAAAAATGGTTCAAACACAAATTATATCTTTTCTTATGTGATACATCAATGAAAAAGTTCTAGACATGATTAACTTTGAATAGTTCATACAAAATGCTACAATGATGATTTGATACAATATTTATACATTTAAAAATATAATGCTTTAAGGCTTGGTGGTGAAAGTGAAAAATATTGTGTAATTATTATTTAAAAATCTAATGATAATAAAAACTGGGATTCTCAAGTTTTAAGACTACCTATAGTTGGAATGTTTCAGCAAAATAAATTCCTGAGAAGTAGAAAATAGACTTTCATCTTCTAAAAGATCACAGAATTTCCTGGAATCGTTGATGAAATAATAACTAAGATAACGCAGTAAATATGAAATCCTACACTGATTAATATTTAAGACATGTCTTGTTTACTCCTCAATTCATGTAGTTTAAGATACAGAGTAAAAATAATGAAATTATATATATTCTAAAAACTAATTAAAAAATATATTATGATACAAATAATTCATATATTATCAATGTTCCTGTACATTTTCCCAGTACATTACGTCTTAAATGTTAACATTTTACAATCTAAGCTAATCATCATTAAACCTGATTTTTGTTACTGCCAGCAATAACTATTGAAAGCTGAAAAAGCAAAATAATATTGTATAAAACCAAAATATCAGTAAATTTAATGAATGGTTGAATACAAGTCTGGGTAGTAAAAAATGTACATAAAGTGAATTAAAATCTGAAATAAAGTTGGTTGCACTTAAAAACGTATAAAGCAATTTACTTATTTGTAATTTGCAGAAAAAAGTCACATGTTCTAAGCTTATCATCATTAATCATCATTTGATCAATAAATCTTAATAATAACAATGACGATAATAAATTTCTGTGAAAGTGCAAAATCTTGAATAAACCCTGCTAAAAATAGCAACAAAATATTTTGCTAGGGAATATTTAACTCTGTTCACGAGTATTATTTCTGTTTGTTAATTGACAGTGGTACTCTTTTATTAAATAAAGAAATGCAGGTATAAAACCAATCGAATGTCCCCTTTTTTAAAGTTTACTCTGTATAATTTATTAAGATATATCTACACCCTTTGTTTTCTATGAACTTATTTTTGAAAACATTTTTCAAAACAAAGTTAGGGACTGAAACTTCTACACAATTAAAATCCTAGCAAACCTGTAGTTCCATGATTTTTTACAAGTATTCATGTTTTTCTTTTTCAACACATCTAACTTAAACCAAGTTTTAAAGTCAATGAATAAATATACATTTTGTGGCTATTGTCGTAATCTAAACCAGAGTAGCGCAGGCTATAAGAGATCTCATGTATTTGACAAAAAATTTTCATTCGCCAATCAAACTCCTTAGATCTTTGACTGATCGGAGTGAAGTGATTTATAACCTCCAGGCCTGATCAAACTAGTATTAGTGAAATGCTGAAAACTTACGATGAAAACATGTACAAGATATGTAGATAATATGATAATAAATTCTTATTAAAAAAAAAAAAACAAAAAAAAAAAAAAACATGTACAAGAAAAGATCACACAATTTCAATTTTTTTGGGTGAAAATTTGTTAAAGCTTAAGTTTACACAAATAAATGCACTCAGTATTTCATACAGTGACAAAAAAATAATCAAATACAACAGCAAGAATAACAACAAATGGAATAGATAACATATTGAACACATCAAACCCAGTCCTGCTGAATTTTTTAAAAGGACTCGTCCAGTTTGTTGTTTTGGCATCGTCTTATTGTTGATTTTAAACAAAACCCAGATGATTATCAAATAGTATAGAGCCTGGTCAGACTGTATAGCTGTGCAGGTTAGATTGACTTGAGACTGGTGCTAAAATCAGAATTACTTTCTTTACAGAAAAACGAAAAATGACATAACATATTAACAGGCTGTCAAATTTCAGTTCTTGTTGCATTCTAAGAATTGTGCATCATTTGGAAAGAGTAAGTTTGAAAAGTATGGAAAAACTTAAAATTTCAAACTTTATAATTTAACTGACTTGTGAAATAACTATTTTGTCTCATCTTGGGGACTCAAAAATGTTTGTTTTAACCATTTAACCAAGGACTGTCAATTTAAGTCTGTGTTTTAACACTTTTGCTCCTTGATTAAACAAAATCAATAATAAAACATTTGAGCCGTGCCATGACAAAACCAACATAATGGGTTGGCAACCAGCATGGATGCAGACCAGCCTGCGCATCCGCGCAGTCTGATCAGGATCCATGCTGTTCGCTATCAGTTTCTTTACTTGTTATAGGGTTTGTAAGCGAACAGCATGGATCCTGATCAGACTGCCCGGATGCGCAGGCTGGTCTGGATCCATGTTGGTCGCAAACCTTTTATGTTGATTTTGTCATGACGCGGCTCATTTATATTTTTCCCATTGAAACAGAAATCATAGTTTACCTGAAATACAGGTAATATTTTCAATAGTTAAGATAAATACATAAATGAGACATGCTGATGGAATTGTGCTCTGTAAATAAATCTTTATATAATAATAAGGCAAAGAAATAAAAAACTTATCAATAAAACATAAATCAACGAAAAATGAAAGATGCGAGTTGGAAATATGAACATTATGCAAGAGTGTTTGGATAGATCTAAGGTGATAAAATGACTTTAAAAATGAAAACACAAAAATGTAGGTCTTATATACATATAGACCTTTAGACAGAAACTCTATAAATATTATGTCGGCACATTAGGTTTGAAAACATATTTGACAAAGTTCTATATAAATAGACTGACTACACATTTCAAAATTTTAGTCTGTTTCTAAGACAACACATTTCTCAAAGTTAACAAATAAAAAGAAACTTCTGAATTATATTTCTACAGTCTATTTCAAAAATTTCAAAATTATCATATTTTGATAAATTTCTATAAAAAGAACAGGAGGGTTTCCACTGAAAACTAACTGACTGACAGAAGGAAGCTCTGAATGGAATTAAATTATAAATAAACAAAATAACATTATAAATTTGGCAAGATCAGGTACCTAAAACGTTTTGATTTACTATGCATGACTGTGTCATTGTTTATTTTTAGAATTATAATTACCTATACTATCATACTGTAGATCATTTCAAATGGTTCTACTGGTACAAACTTATGTACAATCTATAGCTTTTCCTGCTCAATATATATATAATGGACTTGTCCTGCTTTGAATTTGGAACAGTCCATTTGTAGTTTAAGGTAGCTCTGTAAAAATTTTAAAATTTGACTGAAAAAGAATAGACTGGTCAGTCATTACCAAACTGAATGCTGGACCGACTCTGTGCTGTTGACATTGGAATATATTTTCAACAAAGGGCATTAAAATGTAAGAATTTAAATTAACCTTATTTAAAAGATATTGTAATGTTAGCTTAAATAATATATTACACATAAGAAAAATCCCACCAAATCAAACATAAAATAGACAATACTGAGCCAATGTTTAACGGCACTTTACTGGATTTCATGATGCTACAACTCTAACTTACTTAATTCATATGATATTGATAAAACACATTTATCAGCATGAAACAAAACACCAAAGATTTCACATCGAAACAAAATTTAAAACTTGCCCACAACAACATGTATAATTTCACATAACATTATTCATTGAAAAAGTACACAAAAATAATTTGACATATTCATTTTGACATTTACATGTACAGCAATTTTTAACACATAAAAGTTTAAAATGTCATACGAATTTTTAAAACATCAAATTCATGAAGTCATTATCAGTTAAATTGCAACTGAATTCAAAAATAAGTATGTACTTTTGGTCACTGACAAATAAAAAAATTACAAACATTTTACACAAGAAAAATGAATTTTATAATTTTAAGAAACAAAAGAATAAAAAAATTAGTAAAATGGTAAGTTAAAAACTACATGTATATTTAGTTATACAGATTTTGGCTACTGAAAACTGAGTATTACTGTATAGAAGTGCACTTCATTTGCACTTAAAGCAGCACGCCTCCAGTTAAGTCCATGTATTTTTTGTGAACTAAAGTTGGATAAGCCATATTTTTTTAACATCTTTTCACTTTATTATGCTTTTATTACAAAAACTTTAATTTTCTTAAAAATAGAATGCATTTGGAGATGTTTTGAATGAATAGTTGAACAGTGCAGACCATTATCAGATGGTACAAATGTGCTGAGTGCAGACCATGGATGGCATGGATGAACTGGACGATCTTAGTCTGCAAAAGTTGCATGGGTAGAATCATCAGTTGCCTCTTAAAGACACAGAGTAAGAACGGTTCTATTAACAATTCTAAATGATATCATGATTGAAATTTGAAAGTTGAGCAGTAAATAATATAGCCTCATTGTGTAGACTGGCCTGGTGTAATACTGGTGATTGACACAGGCTTTGCAATTTTGGTTCCCAGCATTGTAATGGGTAGACAATGCTTTAAGCATATACAAACTGAAAAGCACCAAGAGAATTGTTACATACTTCTTTCATGAGTGAATCTAGATGAAATGAGCCGCATCATGACAAAACCAAAATTGTGCATTTGCGACCAGCATTACGTTGGTATTGTCATGACACGGCTCAAATAATTTATGGAATCAACAAAAATAACTTCTTCCTATTTTCAAAAATAACAAGAAAATCACACATGTTCAAATCATTTCATAATAAAAAATACATTGTATGTTCTGAAGATTTTTGACCTTCATTTTAATTTTAAATTATTAGTTACTATTTTCGTTTAAAACATACTAATTCAACAATCTAAATTCACAAAAAATGTGAATTTTACTATAAAACCCTGTCTAGAAAATTCCCCCCTTACTGTTTGACACCTAAAATTAACTTTTCTCCAGTATATCATAATTGAATTACAAGTAAATTGTTTAAGGCCCCAGAACTGTCACAAACATAAAGCCTCAAATGTAACAAGGGTACAGCAATAAACTTAACCAAAGGTCACTGTCACAGAAATAACCAAAAACATTTTATGAAATAGTCACAATTTTATATATAATAGTTCACTTGTAACAAACACCTGAGAACTGTCTGTATTAATTTCAACTGAACATAAAAGAACTTGGTTATAATGTGTATATATAACAATGAAAGACAGAAACTAATGTCACCACACAGCAATTAGTGTGGTTTACTATTATGTCTTTCTTTGGGACGTGAAAATGGATCACTCATCTAAAATAAAATAATTCTAAACCTCTATTATATATTTGGTTTAAATAAATGAAAACACTTATATGATAACATGTTGTTATACTACATTTTTAGCGAAAAAAATTTGAACTTACATGAAACGTGAAAAGTTACATCATTACATGTTTGTCTGGAAAGACAGAATGGACAATTTGTTGGAGGAATAGGTGTATAGTTGGAATGGGAAAATAATGTACATTTAAATTTTCATAAAAACTGTATAAAACACTGTCTTGCATTTTATGTTTAAAATGAACAATTTAAACTTAACTTAAAAACATGATGGAAGAATACAATAAAATTTGATAATTCTCCCTGTGTTATTAAAACCTATTGTAAGTTAAATAAAGGCATTATGTAATCATTTATATAATATCATATATAATTTGAAAATCAGCATTTCTTTTGTATGATGGCTGTTGAATCACTTTCTAGATTGAATGTCTGTTACTCCAGTATCAGTTTGTAACAATCTATTTGATTGGACGAAAGTTTGTTTTTCTATAAAGTTGCATCTCATTGGTCGACCTGATTATGTATGAAGCTTTGTCATTGGTTGATTGTTATCTAATACCCAACTCTATCTCCACCCATCCGCCCTGCAACAAAAAGAAAAGGTAATAATTTCAAGAAAAAAAGACTTGTTTCAATAAAAGTACATAGAACTGTCTTCCAAAATGCTGAAAGACATTACGGTATATCTGCTTTACTCAGAGAGAACTTTAAAGCATGCCAATAGTGGAATGTATCTCTGAAATCCGTATTTATCAGGTACCGTATTATTAATTGATAATATTCTATCACATGTGAAGAAATTATAATACTTGATGCCATGAAAAACAAGAAAAAAGTTAGTTTCTTTCTTATGTGTAGATCTAATAGGTTGTTAATTTACTTATTAAAGAAAAGATATGATTAGATATAAAAGTTTTATAAATTTTCTATGTATGTATCGTCTAGCACTATGGCCTACAATAGAACACTTCTTAGACTGACAGTCTTGTGAAAGCAAATCAGAATTAACATATATGCTTTACTTAACTGTACCACCATCTCCAATCAACACTTGAAAAGGGATTAAAAGTTAAGTTTACTCATACTTGGCAGTTATTTTAATATTAAACTAAAAATGTTTTATCCCATATAAAATTGGTGAACATTAATGGGTACATGAATTCTTATAATATAATTGTGCTTACTTTGCAAGTTCAAATACCGGTATATCAAGTAAATGTGTAAGTTCATGCAATATTAAAGGTAGCATAAATTACTTCTTATTTCATTTAATAAATCACTTATAATTCTTACTAAATCCCAAATGTTAATATATAATGGTCATCTTTAATCAACAATGGCCAACAAACATTAAATCAATCAATGATTTTTCAATATTTTACACATTTGTATGTGAAAATCTAATTGTGAAAATCTATTACGGTAAGCTCACTTTAAACAGTAGCAACCACAGCATTGTAGCTAACTTCTATTTTTAGCTCGTAATTGCCAGACCAATTAGGAGAGGGGATTGGGGGTGCAAGTGATTTGACAAGGCCCTGGTTATCATTCATTGGTGAAGGGAATGCAATAGGAGTGCAACATGGTGGAGGTTGGGTAAAATAGAGTGCAATGGTGATATAAATTTACGACAATTAATTCTTAGATTGCTTGATTCTGGAGAAAAAAACATATTTATGCACTTTTTTTCCATTTCTAGCTAATGTAAACTAAAACATTTATGCTATTTTTTGCTTAGTACCACCAATAGATCATTTCTATAAAGTTTCATCAAAATCAACATTATTAATTCCTTATTTCATCACAATAGACTCACTCTGGAAATACAAATATGTTGGGTTTTCCCAGCCAATCTGGGGGTACCAGAGGATATACTGGAAAAACCTACATTTGCCAAAGTTCCGGATTACAACTATTGCTCAAATGGATCAGAAGTAGGTACCATTTAACCCTTAACCTGCTGAATTTCTAAAATGGACTTGCCTAGCATCCTAACATTTTTCTGGGGACCGTTCATTATAACATTCGGGGATATAAAGATGAAAATTTTAAAATGTTGGCAAGCAAGCAGTACAAACCCAGGGCAGATTGCACAGACCTGAGGGCTTGCCTGATTCAAGGCTGGTGGCAAAGGGTAAAAATCTGGTTTCAGCAGGTTAAGTCTTAAAGCAGGTTGATGGAAAAGTGACGGCCAAGGAGAAGATAAAATGTGAAAAGTAAAACTAGCTTTCTACTTTCCAATAACTACTGTTGTAGCTGTAATGAAATGTGAAAGAAATGTGAAATGAAATGAATATAAAACAGACTTTTGTATTGTTATCTATTTGTCTAACAGAGTACAATGTATGTAGTACAATTTAAGTATACTTGCTTACACTTGTAGTACATGGTTAATACCGCCAGTGAGTTAGTATAAGAATTTAGGTTATATGTTAAAGTGTATATCAATGTTTTGAGCTTATATGTTAAGGTGTACCGGTTTATCAATGTTTTTAGATAAATGCACATATATCTTTCTTAATCTATATAAAAACTGCATGGATATATTAGTACATAATGTAGTACCATTGGTGACAAATGCCTCCAGTTATGTGAGCAATTTACAAAATTTATAATAATGATAGAGGTTGAAAACATGTGACAAATTTTTCAATTTAATTTCCTGTATTATCATATAGCTCTTAAAAATGCTTATTATATACTGTTAAACCAATGGCATAAAATTTCATGTTTTGCATTCAAAAAAACAATGTTGTGGGGTCGTAAATTTTTGGGATTCAGGCACCAGGTAAACAAACCTATCATGCTGCAAACTTTTGTGACTTTTATGGTGCAAGTGAGTGAATAAGAATACTTTACATTATCTTGTGCAAAATTTGTTACCCGAGACTTGATTTCATAGTTGACCTGATCCACAAGTCCATGAAAATTAATCCCACACGCTGCAGCCACACATAATAATGATTGCACAGTATACACATTATGTAAAAAAAAATGAGTATAATCACTTAGAATGCCAAGCTGCAAAAATGCCTGGCCTATACAATTAGTATAAAGTTTGGCCGGCTTGTGTATTTGTAATGTCTGACCTGCTTGTACTCAGTAAGCAACTAAATTTTGCTAGGCCAGCTTGTATGTCTGTAGAGTCTGACCTTCCTATACTGAGTAAGCAACTAAATTTTGCTAGGCCAGCTTGTATGTCTGTAGAGTCTGACCTTCCTATACTGAGTAAGCAACTAAATTTTACTAGGCCAGTTTGTATGACTGTAGAGTCTGACCTTCATATACTCAATAAGCAACTAAATTTTGCTAAAATTCCTTATGGTTTGTTCACACTTCAATAGATGGGCAACATAATTGTACATATTTTCAGTTTGTGTATAATTATGTGTAACTAGAAAACAAGTAACATATACAGAAATAAAAGCTACATGCAAAGCTACCTAGAATACATACATTTCTCTGAGGTAGAATAACAGAATAACATTGTAAAAATGACTAGAGAGGAGGCCTTATAAGCAACAGCTAGTTGACCTTTAACCTGTTGGAACCGAAAATAAATAGCCTTTGTCACCAGTATTAAGTAAGGCCAGCCTACATATACTTACATGAAGTCTGACCAGACTCTACACTGTTGGCTTACCAACATCAAATTTGCCTCATGATATCCCTCAAATTGATAATGGACAAATCCAAAAACTGACACAGGTCAAGTCTTTTTAAGAAATATAGCAGGTTACTGTAAGTGTTCAAAAGGGGAATAATGGTTTCACCATAACACATCTGAATTTATGAAATAGACTTGTCATCCTAACTTTAATAACAACTGTTTAAGCACTATGAAAGCTCACAGCGTTAATGTGTTGGCTGAACAAAATTTATAGTCAGGGGAGCTCAATATTTTGATACTGACATCTCTTAAAACTAATATTTGTGTACTGTAAATCAGGTATTTTTGCAGGGCCAAAATTTCGTAAAATCAACATTTTAGACATATTGAGAAAATTCCTATTTTATAGTATTTTAATTACAGCAGGATTTGTCCATTACAAAAATTTAGCAGATAACAAGTTTAGCAATTCTTTAATATTATGATGAAATTAATGTGAAAGTCTCAGGGTTATTGAATACTATACTAGTCTCTACATTCAGAGAAATGTTCTTCCCAATGTGATATCTAACCACCCTAGCCAATATGTACATGAAGCATGCAAGACATAATGTGCAACAGAAAACATTTTCTTAACAACACAGAAAACAATGACACAGTTGAAATTTCTAAATGTGTTTTAAATGAATAGCTATATTTTTTATAGCTCTACACAGCTCACTTAAACTACAGGACAGTTACTGAAATACAAAAAATAAACACAGCAATTTAATATATATATTAAGCGTATATAAAGCACTTTAATTAATGTTGATTAATGTTTATCTTATGTTTATTACTCTAAAATCCTATCTTCTAAGCAGGCAGCCTGCTGCACTATTTAAAACTGTAAGACAATGAGATAATTATCTCCTTAACCCATTTACACTGCTCTAGACTTAATTGTTTTTCCGCTGTCACTCGCCAATGGCCCCAAATGTGACATAATATTAATTTCCTCCAGCACGGTAGAAACAGTCCAGTCAGTCTATACAGGTCTGACCAGGCCTGATCCTGTCAACTTCTCAATTTCTTTACATTGATCTCAAATACATTATCTGTATATTACAGATCTCAGAAAAAAGTTTAATAACCTTAAGGCCTGTATCTAATAAGCTGTACAACCCCACCAGAGCCCTTATTGAATTAACAAAGAACGAGGGAAGATAATCTGTTGGTTGTTTGAAAGTCTTTAGCAATGATAAGTCAGTTCATGGGGGCACTAACCTATCATTTATTAAACTTAAAGCCAAGTGGTGGCAGGTTCTGAAGGGTATTGTTAATTTTGTTGTTGGCGAGTTTTGTGTCAATTATACAGGTCAACTGGTGCCTTCAGAGGCGGAGGAAGACTTACATGTAGGACCAACACCCCACCCTACCTTCCACTCCCAAAGTTATTACTTTATGTACAAGCAGGCACTGGAGTAGAACCACAGACTTTCTAGCTACCTCCATTATAAATCAGCAGCAGTGAGGGGCAAGTGATTTTAAGTAAGCAACTTTAGCTAGTTAGCCACGGAGACAGTGATTATCATTAGGGGCATGGGGATGCTACAGGAGGAGTGCAACATGCTGGTGGCAAAGGGGTGAATAAAATAAGAGTAAAATGGTGATTAATCAATAAGAATTAATTTATTCTTGTTTCTGCTCAATACTGCCGAGAAAAAAAACGACCTATTTCCACACTTTTCTTACAATAATTTAAGTTTAAAAGGGGCATTATAGTTTGACGATAAACATAAGCATTTGCATGATTAAGGAAAAGAAAATAAATGTTCTGAATACCAGTATACGAGAATGACAATTCAAACAAAAGAATTCAGGTCATGCTTACATATAAATTTAGATAATTTAAACAAAAGACTGCAGAAAATTGAAATAACCAAATTCAAGTATACAGATTTTTACAGGAGAATTCAAGTAATGATTTAAACAGAACTGTATGAAGGGGAATGTGGACATGTAGGTAATCTTCAATGCTTGCAGTTGCTTGGGTAATTGTAAATGATCTGAACATGATGCTTTCTGTATTGGCTTTGATTAACATTGAAAAATATTTGTTGTCGAACAATTGTATAATAATATGCATTCAGTGTGAAAAGCCATATTCTACTCAAATCTAAAATTGTGCTATTCTATACATCTGTGTATATTGAATTTGACAAAGGGCAGCTTTTTTGTGATTTCCCTACTTCAATATAAAATTCCTCAAAATATGTTAGTTTTTTAGAAATATCAATACCTCCATTAGGTACTCATATTTAAAATATTCTATCTCAAACAAATTTAAATGGAATCAATAATAACTGTCTTAAAAATAAAGACATTTCATTAGTGCATGGGCACTTTTTAATCTGATATGAACCTCAGGAATAGCAACAAATGACTTTTAATAAAATGATAGAAACTGAAAAAACGTACATCACAACAAATGGTATTTAACATTTAAAAAATAATTGTTTGAGTTGAGTAATGAAGAAGCGAGCATGCGATTACATGTGTACTTACATGCAAGTGTTAGTAGTTTGTCAATCTAGGATACCCACCGTGACGTGACACCCGATCGTAACGCTCGGACACGGCATCATCATAATGTGGTGGCTGATCGTAGGGATCAGCATGGGGTTGGGCATAGTGAGACCCAGCACTACCACGATGAACCCCACGATCACGGGAGTAGTTGTCAGGTGGGTAACCAGAGGGTTCGTCCCTATGATACCGGGGTTCGTGCTCAAAATCTCTACCTTGATAACCAGGATTGTATGCTCCGTTCCCGCTATAGCGATGATCCTTTCCCATACTGTTATAAATTAAACGAAACATACACTACTTTTATTCAAAGCCATTACTCCAATACAAGCGTTCGGTACAGAACATATCGTACATAACGTATCTTTGTTATTTAAATGTAGTTTAAAATACAAAGGTCTGCACTAAACCCTTGATTCAACCCATTGCCATTTCTATAAGTTCTAAAAATGTTATTTCCATAAGACCTTACACTGCACTTACTATTGTAATATTGCAACTTCATCAGTTTCTTGGAGGCTTATAGCTTACCTTAAGAAAAATAACATTAAAGCAAAAACATAAATAAACTCATATGAACACCCTTAAGAAATCTTAAAATTTTGAGAATCATTTGATTATACATTGTACTGAATGATGGTCAAAACTGTTTAGTATTTTTTGAATAATTACTTGAATATTGTAAGCTTAGAAAATCAAAAAAAAAGTTATTTCCATTAGTATTAATTGAACAAATATGTATTCTTCACATTCAATTTTCTCGTGCCTTTATAAGGTAACTTAATGAAAAATACACATTTTTCTTGTTTCATATGACTGAACTATATTAATGAGTAATAAATAAATTAAAAAAAAAAAAAAAAAATGTTAACTTTTAAATTAATGTACAGAACAGGCATAAAGAAAGCTTACTCCACTATTATCAGAAAGAAAGTAATTAAGACGGTCTTAAAAAATGCTAGCTGTCCTACAAAGTAAATAGATTTTTTTTATTTGTGCTTATGCCACAAGTAATTGTTGAGAAAGCACTAGAGGAAGTAAAGGGAGTAGAAGCAGCATTCCCATATTGTCAGGGGGTGGGGGATAAATCCCTCTTCAAAAAGACCCCACATCCCATCAAAAAATACCTCACAAAAACCCCCAAAAGCAAGTAATTAAGTCTGTCTAACAAAAAGCTAGCTGTCAAACATAGTAATTGATTTTTTTTATTCAAGCTTATGCCACAAATACTTGTTGATAAAGCAACACGTCTTAATGTTCACAAAGCGTTATCATTCAATAAAAAAAAAACAAGCCGTGTTAACATTATAGATTTCGACAGCGTATTAAAATTATGACTCTTACAACGTTGCAAGTTTTAATGATGAATGAAGTTGCAAGTAAAATCTTAATCAAGTGTTATGAAAAAAAGAGTAGAAAAGCTCTACTATTCTTCAAATAGTGAAGCTTATAACCATTAAGTTAGTGTTTTTATTATACGATTAATACAAATTTAAAACCATGGTGCGCTAAAAGCCAAATGCTTTGTGTTTATGCAGATTATAAAATGATTTTGTGTGTTTTATTATACACCAAACAATATTTGAATAATTATTTAAATACATGACTATGATAGGTAATAAAAAATCTATAAAATAGTAGTTTACATTATTTCATAATTAGTATCTTAACTAAATTAGTCAGTATTTTACATTACTTTAATGTCCTGACAAAATTTTTATAGTGTATTACATTTTTTCAAAGTGCCATAACCAATTAAGGTAGTCTTACTGTAATGCTTTCCCGCCCAAAAAATTTAACATCAGTCAATATCGTAGCAAATCGGTTATTTCCAGGACATTATGTTTTCAAAATCTTGGGCAGTGAATTATTTACAATTACTTATCCTTTACTGCTATGTACACAATTCTGGTTATAAACGGTTAAAAATTATTGAATACCGAAGATTGTGAAAAATAATGTCCCAAAAATGACTGATTGATTATGATATTGGGTGGTGTTAAGACTTATTTTGGCGGGAAAGCATTGCAGTAAGACTACTTTAATTAAGTAATTTACATTATTTCATACTTGCAATAACAAACAAATGAATACACAGTATTTTATGCTGGCAATGTACTTCAATATGCAAAGTTGTATTAAAGCATAATCTTGACTTTACAGAGGAAAATCATAAATAAAATATTTCTGGTCAAGAAAGAAACAGCAATGAACAAATAATAAATTCAAGAATGTCCATACAGTAGAGAACAGTCCTAAACACTCAAGAAGTTTCATTATTTCAAGACTTTGAAACTAAATTTTGAAACTGCCTGTTTCTTTTTTATAACTTTCTTTAACTGATTAAAGGTGAATGAAAAAACCCTGTCAGACTGTGGTCAAACATGCAGTAAACACCAAACCAGTTATATTACAATCATTTTAGTAGTACATACTTTGTAAGTGGCACGTTATCCTCGTAACCTCTATTGCCACGTAAACCTTCGTAGCTGTTTGGGTACTGCGATTGTATCCTATAACATTAAATGTATAATAAAAAGTTTCAGAAAGTACATTTCTTTTCTAATGTTTAATGTTTTATAGAGAAAATGCATGCAACAATGATAAAACTTTATAAAGGGATATTGAATAAATATAGGTTCGATACTAAATTCAATGAATAGGTTAAATAACATCATATTGCGAGCATATTATTATCTTACTTTATGAGTTCAATAAATTAAGTAAAGAGACTACTCATATTTAATATTCTATTTTTCACATGTCCAAAATAAGAACTTTTCACATTTCATTGATATACTTATTGTGTATAAAAGTGCGATTTTTAAGCTGTAAGTTTGTATTATGCAAATAACGTAACATCAAAATAATATATGCACGGCCATGCAATATAGTTATTAGGGGGAAGCAAAAATATGGCACAGGTTTTTGAATATATCATTTATATATTTTCAAAGTAAACAAGAAGTTTCTTTATGACTTATGTTTCACAAAACTTTCAACTTTTACATGTCAACTTCCCCGGCTTTAAGCATCATGGAAGATCTCAGGTGGTCCATCTTGCATTATATAAATCATAAACATTTACCAGAGTAAAACCACCAATCTCAAAAAAGCTAGTTTGATAGCTTCCTCATATGATACAATCCAAATTTTCAGCTGGGTTTCAAACCAACAATGGTGAAGGGCAAGTGATTCCAACTCAGTGACCCTATTACCACGTGGCAAGACCAGTACAGTTACCTACACTGTCATTAATATTACAGTTATAAACAGCTTATCAGCTTATTTGCTTTTAGATGGAATAAATAAGAATTAAGTCAAAAGAATCTCAAATATAAAACGTTACTCACGGATCATCAAATCCACGGTCTAATTTCTTCCTATATTTCTCTGTTCGCTTGTAAAGATTTGAGAGTAAGGCAGCAAAAATGAAACATGGAATGAAAAAGAATAAACTCCATCCAAGACCGAACCATATGGCATTCTGAAATGGGTATAACAAATCATCCTTATATCATTTTAACATGCTTTTATTCCAAAATGAACAAACAATAAGATAAAACTGATGACTAGTATTTGTGTGATTTTTTTTCCAGCTAGACTTTAAAAAATAGAGCAATATGACATTAGCAATTTTAACAGAAACATGAAGCTTTAATGGTTAAGGATTTGGATCTATGTTAGGGTTAGGTTAAGGTCAAATCATGAGATGTTCAGCATAACAGACTATGTGGAAACACAAATTTTGTAAAAGCATTTTTTGCTGCTAACTATATCCTAGTACTTTCTCTACTTCAATATTAACATATCTAAACAGAATTATACCCTACCTTGAATAAAACATATTGGACTAAGCTTAAGAAGAGCTCAATAAACTTGAACACACTAAAAAGTCAACATTTTTTGTGTGTGGAAAACTTCCCACCTTATAGTCATATATACTCAAACAACTCTTTATATTTCACATCATTATTATTATTATTATTAACCTGTATCAGAATAATCAATTTCTAATAATTTCAGGATAATTTCTTTACAATACAGTGGCAAACATTATGCGATAAACAGCGTTAAGTCATCCTATTCAAATAGCCTATAGAAAACAAGAGAATATCCTCCCTTACCAGCGGATCAAGAGTTACAACGCATACTGCATCAACAACACTCTGTGCAGCATCATATAGGGGACGGCACTTTCCAACGTCGTATTTAATCTGTAATATATCAAATATACATCATTTGGTTCTACACTACATAATAAGTACAAGTTATTTAGACATGGCTGACTTCACAGGCTGACTTTGCAGTTATTTAGACATGGCTCACTTCACAAGTTATTTAGACATGGTTGACTTCACAGGCTGACTTTGCAGTTATTTAGACATGGCTCACTTCATAAGTTATTTAGACATGGTTGACTTCACAGGCTGACTTTGCAGTTATTTAGACATGACTCACTTCACAAGTTATTTAGACATGGCTGACTTCACAGGCTGACTTTGCATTTATTTAGACATGACTTACTTCACAAGTTATTTAGACATGGTTGACTACACAGGCTGACTTTCAGTTTTTTAGATATGACTCACTTCACAAGTTATTTAAACATGGCTGACATCACAGGCTGACTTTGCAGTTATTTAGACATGGCTCACTTCACAAGTTATTTAGACATGGTTGACTTCACAGGCTGACTTTCAGTTATTGAGACATGGCTCACTTCACAAGTTATTTAGACATGGTTGACTACACAGGCTGACTTTCAGTTTTTTAGACATGACTTACTTCACAAGTTATTTAGACATGGTTGACTTCACAGGCTGACTTTCAGTTATTTAGACATGACTTACTTCACAAGTTATTTAGACATGGTCGACTACACAGGCTGACTTTCAGTTATTTAGACATGACTCACTTCACAAGTTATTTAGACATGGTTGACTACACAAAATTTTAGACATAATTAGCTTCAGAAATCATTTACACATGACTAAGTATACTAAGTTGTACAGGTCGACCAAAGTCATTTAGAATTGATAAATTCGAAATTAGATTTTTACATGTACAAATAGCATTCATCTATGTAATGTTAGTCATGCCAAGTACAAATAAGGTACATACAAAACTTTTTGTTGAGTTCACTGTTTCTCCAATAATAGCCAGTATACTTTTCACTGCATTTTGCAACCCCTGTTAAAAACAATATAAAAGAAAAGCAATTACAACTGACAAAATTGAAAGTCTATGTTTTCTTTCTATCCACCTATATATTAACAACAAAGGTCCTTCACAAAGCAGTGCCTAAAATACTTGAATGAAGTAACCGTCCTTAAAGGGACTCCACTGAGGTATTTTGAAGGGACCATAAATATTTTTCCAAGTAACTTGTGTACAAAATTTTCAGATCATTCTCTCACTCTGCTTCAAAGGGATGAACATTTCTATAGCGCACATTGACTCAAATTGAAAAAAATTACAATGCTTTCCACTCAAATTGGCCCAATTATGACATAAAATTCAATTATCAATTTAATACAGAGCATACTTATGTATCATCTATTACACAGTTTTCCATTTTAAGTCACTTCTTGATTTAATATGAAAGATTTTCAGATTTTATGATTTTAATCTATTAGACTCCGATGGAGTTCCTTTAAGAAAGCTTAATAACATGTTCAATATGGTCTGAAATTGATTGTGTGAGTGAGTATTGTTTAAAATTTCAAAATTAGAGAAGAATGAATATTCACTGTCTGATAAGTTATTTAAATAAAAAACAGGCAACCTATTATGAATTCACTTAATTCTGAGTGCATGAAATTCTGTGGTTTTGTCAAAAATTACTTTTTTGTGGGTTTCTAAATTTGAGGATAGCCTGTTTTGAAATATGTAAAATGCAAATTATGTTATACATAAATAATCTTATACTCCCCTAAAAATAAAATTTTGTTTGGATCTTTAATTTGTGGATTGACCTATCTATTAAAACCACAAAAATTAGTGCCCTACAATAATAATGATTTTGCAGTATCATAAAAAAACCTAATAACATGTTTACTTCTAAAATATTTTTTTTTTTTGGCTTTAATTCATAATGACACTGTGACAGTCATATGGTGACATTGCAGCTCTTCTTATGCAGCAAAGAAACTCTTCTGATGTAGGAAAACCCCACGTGCCGCCGCGTGCATTACTTTACACACACATCGGCACCTGTGTAATACTACTGACCTATAGGAAGCTACCCTCATAGCTTTCTCACATGAAAGATTCACAAGTCTCTAGGGGGATTTGAACCCGAAGCAACCAGGGGGCAACTGATACAATGTCTGTAACCTGAACCACACCACCTATTGAGTGTAATTTTTATAATCTGGGTAAAATGGTCGATGAATAATCTTTATACTGTTTTGTACATAAAATAAACAAAGTCGGTCATACCTGATTCACAAATCCTGTCTTATTTGCGTTAAAGTTGTTCTCTGATTTAGTAATGCTGTCAGTTAACTCATCGATACTGTTCTAAAATAAAAAAAACATTTCACAAAATTTTTAACTTAAAATGTATTCAACTATGTAAAAACAAGGTGGAGCTTTAGAATCTACATTTTGTGTATTTTTAATTTACATAAATACTTTAAACTTTGTTAAATAATGGAATGTTAAAGATGAACAAGTTTTGACATTCAAACATTTATAAAATATGTGCTAAATTATATGTAGTGACGCATTTATTAACAGATGAGAACACTGTTTTTCCTCTTTTTAAAGAAAGCACTTGTGAAAGAACATGTACATTGGATTTTTTTGTATATTTCAGCTTATTCCTTCTTAATCTACCAATCACTGCCAAATCAAGTCCAGTCACATCAAAATTTTCAATCAAATAACAAGCAATTTTATAATACTTACTGGTACAGAATCCTTGATTTTACTTTCTAAAGATTTTATTGTTTTGGATAAATTGGTCTGAAAGAAAAAAATAATTCAAATTTATATTTGATCATTTAACTTTGAAATTGTCTAGCAAAACATCATTGTTTTTTTGTTGTTATAAAATTAGCCCATAACCTGCTGATACCAACAGTGGTGAGTCTTTGCCACCAGTATATACCCAGCTTAGCCTTGCATATCCATGAAGTACTATCAGGCTCTAAAATTTTGGCTGACCCAGTTCAAATTTCTGTCTTGATATCCCTCCTCCCTCTACACTTGATAATGGATAGCTCTAAAAATGAAAGCTGGACAAGTCCATTTAAGAAATTCAGCAAGTTATGGGTTAATTTCAAAAAACAGTTTGCATGCACAGATTACATTAAAACATCTTGGCACCTGTTAAAAAAGATCAGACTTTGGCTTTGGACATTTGTGAACATTAGAAATCTGACATGATCTTGACCTTTACGAATGCCAAACATCTCCTATTATGCTCTTAAATAAGTCTTTGAAGTTTCAAGTCTATGTAGATACCAACTTGCACACACAAACTTAACCAAAGTGTCATTGGAGGCCTGGGTGAGTACATTAGCTCTCCCTGCTCTACAAATAGTTGAGCTAAACACTAAATGTAATAATATAAACATGTACTTACTGTTGTATTTTCTATCTCTTTTATCTGATTTAGCCTCAAACGCTCTAAATCATCAGCTGCACCTCTCAGATTAGTTGCATCCTATATAAAATACAAGCATACAGTGTATAAAAAAACAAGAATGAAGATCAACAAGGCAAGGGCAACATTCAAAGGATGCAGCCCCACGACACAGCCAAGTAAGCCACCCAGAAGGCACCAAACCAAAACCGGGAGTGGACATGAACATAAGGATGGCGAAAGGATAAGCCCCTTTCTATAATGGGCTGTTAAGAAAGATGTATGAATGCATGTCCCCGTTTTTTTAAAATAATGAGAAATTTGCAAATAGTATGTCCTACCCACAATATGAGATTCACTGACAGATATACATTTCCACTTTTAAAGCTGCTATGCCAGACATTGTAGTTTCACCACATGCTCATACATTTATATAGAACTAGATAATTAATACATGTCTTGTCTGACTAAAAAACATCTAAGTAAAGATTTTGCAATGTTAATCATGCTGAAAATTTAAACCATTGCAAATTTTTAATTTTTAAATATTGACTTCAATTATAAACACACCCGTTAACTGTTTACACGTAGATTCATTCGTTGTGGGTAGAACAATTGTACGCTTGGTAGTTTTTTTATCCTGCAAACTATTTCAGCGCAATATATCATTGAAAATTATGTCTATAAGAAGAGACAAAAAAAGAGGAACGTATCTACAAAATCTGGTTTAAAACTGATATTAATATACATTTGTTGTTAGTTCTACCTGCATCAAAGTGTCTTGCTCGCTAAATAATAATGGAGGTGATAATAGGGGTGTTTATATCTGTGTCAAGTGAAACATGACATTCATTTATTCATGGCTATCTCCTGGAAACTGCAAATTTTACTTGTATGCATGTAAATAACTGTTTCCAAATATGTTGATGTTTTATTAAACCTGTTTTGTGTGGAAGAGTAGATAAAACAAGCAATCATCATAGTATTGCAAGCAATCCATAAGTCCCCTACCGGTTAGAACCCCAGCAACATTCTGATGGGCCATTGGCCATTCAATCATACCATTGAATGAATGAACGACATCAATGAACTTAAATCTTTTGAGTTCTAAGTTACCTATTGTCTCTCTAGCCACATAATTACTGTCCTGTGAGTGCGGACAGACGGACGGAGGGTAAACCTAGTCCCCTCCGGTTAAACCCGTAGAGGACTAATAAACATGCAGTCTTGTATATAAATATACATTTGCAAATTTACTTATGTAGGAGATTTTCAGGTAAAAGTAAAAAAAATGTTCACTGTATGAGACTCACATGTACAAATATAAATGTTCCCATCGATTCCTTAACATAGAAACAGAAATGTCTCATTTCGATTAAAAATTTATCTGTAGAAATATAGATATCTACCTTCAAAAACCAGATTTAATTATAGAAATAGGTTTGTCCTTATTTTATATAAGCATTTTATATGAGCTTTGTAAATAGAAGTATACATACTGGATCAGTGGTAAGATTGGCAGCTTTATACAGGTCATTAACGATATCTTTCAGGTCATTGTCTCCACCAAACAGTTTTTTGTCCAACTGAAATCAAACAATAAAAAAGATCATTATTTTCTTCATAGTCTTATACATGACGAAAAATACAAAAGTAGCAAATGCTTCCCTATAATAGTGTCTAATTGGTAAGTGGGTGAAAGTATATAGAAGAACTAGTTTGATTCACGTTAAAATTATATTCAATTTTTAGAATCAATTTCCCCACGAATTCAAAGTCATTGTAAATAAATATGTACATCTGCAAACATTTATTTTAATATTGAAAATAAAAAAAACTTCAATCTGTGTTAGTGCATGTTATAAATACTTTTGGTTTGAATATCCAAGAACAAATACGAATAAAGGGAAAGGAAGACTACTGTATTTCAAGTTTTCATTGTGTTAATATTCATGAAAAGAAAAATACTCATTATCTTCACAATCCTGTTAAAACATAATCAATAGCTAATATTACCAAATATAGAGCAATACAAAGTTCCTTTTTCACATATTTTCGACGAAAGAAAAAAGGATTGTATTCATAGATCTGAGTATAAAGTTTTGTCACATGGTGAGAAAAATGTGCAGCCTGACCGGGACTCAATCCCGGGACCCTCGAAATACCGTACCGCGGCTCTACAAACTGAGCTATCTGGCCAATTACACATCTTCTCCCATAAATAGTGAACAGTTCTGAACCGTGACATACTCTGCTATATTGAAATTCATCCTCGAATTTCACAGAGTTACTGAGCAATGTGAAATAAACTCTGAGCTATATTCAGTCACGGTCCCCCGTTGGGCACCAAATGTCACAGGATGAGAAAAATGTGCAGCCTATACGGGGCTCAAACCTAAGACCCTTGGAATACCGTACCACGGCACTACCCACTGAGCTATACGGCTGCTTTACACATCTTCTACCCTAAATAGTGAACAGTTCTGATCTGTGACAGTTTAATTAAGTAGACTATGGAACCCAAAATCAACACAGATCAAATTTGATGGCCAATTTATTGAAATAAACCAATGTTCTGACTTTTCTTTTGTGTAAGCAGCATACAAGATTAATTTATTTTGTTTCAGGGTAAATGTATGGATTGTATGCACTCAATAATCAATATAGTATGTGTAGGCAATTCAAATCTAAGACAATTCAAATCACATCAATTAATTTCTTTTTAATTCAACAATAAAACAAGAGCTGTCGGTAGGACAGCAACGCTCGACTATTCTAAGTGCTTGATAGTAAAAAAAGCCTTGATTAAAAGGTAAAATTTTCTAAGTAAAGAAAAATGCAAAATTTTTCTTTAACTCCATATTACAGTTATAGGCCTTGGAGAGAGTCAAAGAAGAGTATAAAATTTCAACATGTTTCAAAGCCTTATGTCAATGAATTTTTAAATAATTGAGGTATTACAAAAACTTTAACGTAAATTATAAGTCGAAAAAGGGGCATAATTCTGTTAAAATGCTTGATAGAGTTCCCTCCTCCTGTATACATGTAGGGGTCATGATGGTGAACAAGTGTGCAAAGTTTCAAAGCCACATGTCAATGGACTTTGAAAATATTTGAGGTATTACAAAAACTTTAACATAAATTTTAAGTCGAAAAAGGGGCATAATTCTGTCAAAATGCTTGATAGAGTTACCTCCTCCTGTCTACATGTAGGGGTCATGATGGTGAAGAAGTGTGCAAAGTTTCAAAGCCATATGTCAATGGACTTTGAAAATATTTGAGGTATTACAAAAACTTTAACGTAAATTCCAAGTCGAAAAAGGGGCATAATTCTGTCAAAATGCTTGATAGAGTTACCTCCTCCTGTCTACAGGTTGGGGTCATGATGGTGAACAAGTGTGCAAAGTTTCAAAGCCATATGTCAATGGACTTTGAAAATATTTAAACTATTACAAAAACTTTAACATAAGTGGTTACGCCGACGCTCGGGTGACTACAATAGCTCTACTTATTCTTATCGAATAGTCAAGCTAAAAATGATATGTTCCTAATGTTTCCTTGGACAGGAAAATCAATTGATAAAAGTCTTCAAAAATTGTGAGTAGGGAATTATATGTTTTGAGTGATCCAGAATTACTTAAATGACAATTTGTTCAGATAACCTTTGTTTTAAATGAAGGCTTTCAATATTTTCAAATGATCTTCTTTGTAGTTACTGTACATTGTTTGTCTAATGTTGTGAAATAATCAATTAAACAATTTTTCATGTTGGTTTCTATATTTTTCTGCATCAGTATTAGGAAAACAAGTGAAAGCAGTGTGACAATAACATGATGTTTAAGAAAGAAACTACACCAGTTATTTATTTAAATGCTTGAGCCAAAAGGACTAAAAAAACTATAGAAACGAATGCTTTTCATAAGATTATTCTGATTGCCTACACTAACTGTATGTATATTGTAATCATGTTTTCATAATATTTTGTATTGAGAAATAAAGATCTGCTGATTTGCAAATACAAAATAAAATGTAAATAAAAAAATTAAGATCTGTTTACAAAAATGCAATGTTTTGACTTTTGTGCTTGTCCCCCCACCCCCACACACTGTCTGGACACTCTTCAAAAAGTTACAATAACGATGTGTTTATCAAACACTTGAAATTACTGACTGATTTATACAGTATAAAGAGAATTGTAAATGGATGACAATGTCTCACCTCAGTGGTATATTCTGTAAAATTGATGTCCGTCACCGACGCATCTTTAAACTTGGTTAACTGGCCCCTCAGACCATCAGACATCAATTTTATGTCAGGAATAGTAAAACTCTTGTCATCTGTCATCTTGTTTACTTCAGCTTCAATATCCTGAAACAAGATAAAATATTCAATCAAATTAAAATCAATCATGATGAATATTATGAATTTAGTCATTTTTATTCTGATCATTGTCTAAACTACATTTTTCTCTAATGATAACCTGGGTTGAATTTCAAGGAAAGTCCTAAGTCTAAATTTTTGTCTAAAGACCAAAAACTGAGAGAGTAAATCTAATATTTGTCTTAAGAGCAAAAACTGAGACTATTTTCATTTCAAAGAAAATGTCCTTACTTATGACTCTCATGTTATGACTTTACAATATCTGAATAGCAATTCAGATGAACATTAATTTTTACACATTGCGGATTGAAGCGTATGCCATTGTATTTTGTTACTTTTCTCAGAATACAAACAAAATCAATACAGGATATGGTCTGTTACTGGGTATATTTTGTGCCCAGTCATCAATCATCAACCAATGACATTTTCATACCCTGTAACAGACCAATTTAAGCTTTGACCTCCAAGTGGGACATTGACCTTTGAGATAGGGGTCTAAGTGTTGTGCATGACATGTCATCTTATCATTGTTAACATTTAGGCCAAGTTATTTTGAAATCCCTTGATTGATGAAAAAGTTATATACCAAACACAAAATATACCCTAGAATAGACCATAAACTTTAGCACTCAAGTGTGACCTTGACATTGAACACATGGCATGGTCCCATTATTGTGAATATTTGTGCCAAGTAATATCAAAATCCCTTGATAGATGAAAATGTTATGGATGGGACACCACAAATACCCTCCGATAGATGATTTTGACCTTTTATCACCAAATGTGACCTTGATCTTGAAGTAAGGCATCTGGGTGTTGTGTACAGCACATCCCTTGATGGATGAGAAAGTTATGCACTGGAACCAAAATATACCTTGTAACAGACTATGTTAACATTTGACCTCTAACCTTGACCTTGACCTTGGAGGTAGGCAACTGGTTGTAATGCATGACACATCGTTTTATTATTGTGAACATTTGTGCCAAGTATTTTTAAAATCCCTTCTTAGATAAGAAAGTTATGGACCAGACACAACATATACCCTCAAATAGACAATGTTGACCAATCACCAAGTGTGACCTTGACCTTGTAAGTAGGGTTCCAGTTGTTGCGCATGACACATCGTCTTATTATAAGGAACATTTGTGCCATGGACCAGACACTTAATTGTGCCTATTAATATATCCCCCTTTTTTCTACGAAAAAGGCGGGCGACAATTAGCAGTAGAATATTTTATTAGGTCACATATCACATGTATAATCCATTGTTAAAACTGTTTCCAGACATAACCATAAGAATGTTTAAACAGCAGTATTGAACAGATTTTTATGGTATATGTATATTGCCAGTAGCACCCTTTGAATTTTATTTTAAAGATTTTAAAGTTTTTAAAGAGTGTGTACACCATAATGGTGTAAAGTGTTTAAAGAGTGTGTGTACACCAGAATGGTGTAAAGGGTATACAAAAATAACAATAATAGACTTACACTAATGTTGAATTGTTTGTCAATGTCAAATAAATACTGCAGGTGCAATGCTTGATAAATACTCATATCATCTTTACAGTTCCTGAAAAAGAAGGAAAATAATGCAATTTTCCAGCTTTACTGGTGGAGGAAGACTTCAAGTGGTGCCCCTCTGTGCATTATTTCAGACACTAACAGGCATCTGAGTAGAACCATCAACATTCTGTAAGCTAGCTGGATAGTTTTCTCATAAGACAAAATCTGAAGACACTTGCGTGACTCAAAACTGTGTTGAGCGGCGAGTGGTTTAAACTGAACGACCTTAACCTTCACCATAACCATGGTGATGATACAAAGAATTCATGACTTGCTTACTCATCAAGTTTTCTCGTTTCAACATACCCGTGGTGATGATAAAACATCAAATTAATGATCTGCCTATACAATAATGTCATGTGAGTTCACCATAACCACTGTGGTGATGATGTGAAGTAATTTCTATGTATTTTTGCTTCCACTTAGCTAGTTTTCTGAATTGAAATATGCTTAATATTGCTAAATTTGTAGAATTGAAAAAGAAGGTGAAAACTATAACATACTTAAACATTTTGGCTATAGTGAGGTTTTTCACTCCAAACGATGCAGAAACATTCCAACTGAATCCCTCTGACAACACATCTTCAAAAGTCTGCAAAAGATGTACATAAAAAGATTTCATTTAACCATTTTATAATAATTCTGAAGTTTACATAATGAACTTGTCATGCTTTGAAACTAGACACATCATCATGTTGTTACTTTATTGTTGTTTTTGTTGTTGTTTCTGATTACAAAAATGAAAAAGAAATAATGCATCTGGAAGTGTCTGGAAGTGTTATTTTAAATTTTTAACAATTAAAAGGTTTATATCTATTGTGAGAGAGGTATATAATTGTGCATTAAAGGTATTCATTATTATACTTTGTAACATAAACTTATTTTTTAGTAAATTGTACTATGTATCATAAACTTACGTTTTAGTAAATTGCAATGCATAGCATAAACGACTACATGTCACTAAACACATGTTAAAAGTAATCTGTAATGAGTATTGTACAATTATCGTAATTCAGAGCGCCTTTATTTTTCATCAACTTTATAAATACATTGAGAAATGGCAACATATACTTACATCTACATTTTCTATCCCATTATGAACATATTTACAGGCCATGGAGTAACTGAGACCACCCACTGCAAACAGGAGAACAACAAACAGCATGAGAATCCAGGCAAACAAAAATGAGCAGCAAATACCCCTGTAAAAAAAAATTACATGATATATATATTTCTAGCACATTATTGGAATATAACAACTTAGTAATGATACAACGATTATTGGCCAATACTTACATCATAGGGTTTATAAATACTTAAATTAATGGGTAATAATACTAACATCATAGGGTTAATTCATACTGAGATTAATGGGTAATACTTACATCACAGGGTTAATTAATACTGAGATTATTGGGTAATACTAACATCATAGGGTAAATTAATACTAAGATTAATGGGTAATACATAAATTATTGGGTAATACTAACTTCACAAGGTTAATTAATACTTAGATTATTGGGTAATGCTTACATTATAGGGTAACTTAATACTAAGATTAATGGGTAATACATAAATTATTGGGTAATACTAACATCACAAGGTTAATTAATACTTAGATATTTGGTTATGCTAACATCACAGAAATAATCAATAATAAGATTAATGGGTAATACTTACATCGCAGGGTTAATAAATTCTTAGATTTTTGGGTAATACTTACACCACAGGGTTAATTAATACTGAGATTATTGGGTAATACTATCCTAATTGGGTAAATACTAAGATTACTGGGTATTACTAACATCTAAGAGTTAAACTAACAATTCATTAAGCAATATTTACTGTGTAAACTATATGCAATTTTAAAGAATAGTAACATATTGTGATAGTGTTGTTACATATTCATGAGATTTAAGTGTCATATTTAATAAAATTTCACATACGTGCAGAGAAGATGTGCTCCTGTTTCACGGTTACAGCATGCAGCTCTAGGGCCTGGCCTCTCGCCACAAAGGCCAAACAACACACCCATATAGTAAAAGAACACAACCAGTATAACAGCACAGCCCAGACCTATACAGCTGTACCATCTGTAAAAAAAGAAAATATCATTCTCACAAATGTTCCCCTTTGTGCTATGACATCCTACATTGAATTTTTCTTTTTTAAAAAATAAGCTTCTTAAAAAGTGATGTTTTGTTAGATTTTAAGTCATGCTGACATTGTTAAGTATATATGTTGACTTTCCAGCTTTACTAGTGAAGAAAGACCTCAGGTGTCCCTTTGTGCATTATTTCAGGCATAAGTAGGCACATGAGTAGAACCCCCAATCTTCTCAAAGTTTACTAGATAGCTTCCTCACATGAGAGAATCCAAAGTCCTTGATGGTACATTACATTACAAAGAGCAATATAAAACAATAGCTGTCAAATATCTCAGTTCCTGACAATATTGCTAAGTGCCATTCGATAATGCTTAGTTCCATTCTGGAATTTTTGTCAGTTAAGAATTAAGGATATATTCTTGCTTCATTCCTGTAAAGGTTTTGACAAGCTTTGAATTTTTGAACAGTCCGTTTGATTTTTAAGGGATTTCAATAATAAAATACTAAAATTAAGCTGCCAACGGTGTAGAGCCTGGTCAGAAGCATGGATCTGCTTGCTGGTCTCGCCCTATCTTGGTGGAAAAGAATAATCACTTTTATGATTCCATTAGGTTAAGGTAAATAAAATTTTAATAAATAAAAAAAAAACATTGAGAAAAATACAAGATGAATTATTTACATGTAATCTGCCATCTGTTTGAATGTATCCGTCTCATCGTTGGCAAATGTTCTCCCCTCATTCACACTTTTCAACTGAAATTATCAACAAAATAATCAACATATTGGTCTAAATTAAACAATAATATAATCAACTTATTGGTCTAAATTTATCAATAATATAATCAACTTATTGGTCTAAATTTATCAATAGTATAATCAACTTATTGGTCTAAATTTATCAATAGTATAATCAACTTATTGGTCTAAATTTATCAATAATATAATCAACTTATTGGTCTAAATTTATTAGGGCCGGAAATTTAAATATTCCAATATTCGAAACACTACTGAATATTTGAACATTGAAAAATGAATAAGATTATTAAAAAATAACGAAATGTTTCGATATCTTTTTTTTAATATTTTTTTTTACTTTCAAGTATCATTTGAGATCATAAATTAAACCCTTGACCTTTACTTGACCAGGTGTTCATATGTTTGTATAACTAAAATCAGTTGACTCTACACTGGTGCAGGCTGACCTGACTATATACTGGTGGAGGCTGGCCTGACTACAGGTGGAGGCTGGCCTGACTATATACTGGTGGAGGCTGACCCGACTATATACTGGTGCAGGCTGGCCTAACTATATACTGGTGGAGGCTGGCCTGACTACTGGTGCAGGCTAGCCTGACTATATACTAGTGGAGGCTGACCCGACTATATACTGGTGCAGGCTGACCTGACTATATACTGGTGAAGGCTGGCCTGGACTACTGGGTCAGGCTGGCCTGACTATATACTGGTGGAGGCTGACCTGACTATATACTGGTGCTGGCTGGCCTGACTACTGGTGCAGGCTGACCTGACTATATACTGATGCAGGCTGGCCTGACTCTATACTGGTGGAGGCTAATCTGACTATATACTGGTGCAGGCTGACCTGAATTTATACTGGTGCAGGCTGACCTGACCATATACTGGTGCAGGCTGGCCTGACTATACTGGTGCAGGCTGGCCTGACTATACTGGTGGTGGCTGACCTGACTCTATACGGTGGTGGCTGACCTGACTATATACTGGTGGTGGCTGACCTGACTATATACTGGTGCAGGCTGGCCTGACTATTTAGTGGTGCAGGCTGGCCTGACTACTAGAACTTCAATGATAACATATATGTATGATTATGTAAAGCTACTTACGAAAGGTTGTGTTGTGTCATTGATTTCACCAATGTTTTTGCTAATTGTTCTATTCATGTCATCCACCTGAGTTTGTGCCTCTGTAAAACAAATGTTCACATCATAATACATGTGTCACAGTATAGAAATGTGAAGATGTGTAAGCAGCTGAGAGGCTCAGTAGGGAGAGCCGCGGACCAAGTTCAGAGGTTCCCGGATTTGAGTCCAAGTCAGGCTGCATTCCTTCTGACATTTGGCACACAATGTGAGTCATGATAAAAGGTAACTCCAGAGTTACTACACTGTAGTGTTCTTTGTACCCACAAGAAATTAAAGAACAAATTTCAATATAGTTGAGGTGTCTAACAGTTCATTAAACATGTCGTAAACCCATTAGATGAACCAGTTGCTGAATCCTCAATGGAAGCCAGGGCCTTAAATCCAATTTGGGGAAAGTGGGTCACTATCGTCAGCAGGGGAAATTTCTTTTTATTTCCTTTTTGGTCAAATATTGATAAACTACCACTTAAATATCAGGGTTTTTTGTGACTGACTATTGTGAGGCATTCCGAGGACAAAAATTTTCCTGGTGCATCCATACAAATATCAAACCATATGAAATGTCATGAAACAAATTGATTTTACTTATCAAAAACTGCTTTTTTCCCCTTGGATTTTGTATGTTCTAAAAGCATATTTTTATGTCTGTTAGGGGGCAAAAAGTTTACTAATTTGGCAGGGGACTCATGGTAGATCAAGGGCCATGCAAGCAGACTGACATGTAATCTAAATTAAATTGCCTATGGGCTATTGCCCAAGCAACAATGGTAATGTAGAAGATGGAGGTGAAAAGAAATGCAGTCCTGAGAGAAATGCCTGTCATCAACCAAAATTTACATATTATGTTGTTTTACAACATCAATTTTGGCATGCTTAATTCTTTGGGGCTGTTGAGTATTTTCGGGTACCTATGAGTACTAATAGGTTGGTACTGTCTAATAAACTAAAAGGTTCCTGCAACACTGATAGGTAGTATTCGGGACAACAATAACCCTATAGTGAATAGATACAAATAGTGTAACCTGAAGGGAGACAGTTATTCAATAACATTTAGAATAGACACAGGCGACTTTGACTTCTACCTTAAAAACAGAGGAGACAATGTTCATGGAACATTTTCCCCATTTGAAACTCAGGTAGCAGGTTAGTGCACTTCCAGCAGCAGATAGAAGGTTATGCTCCTTATTCATTTTAAGGTACCCTTGTACTATACTCACTATTTATTTCAGCTTCTACGTTCTTATCCACTTCCTTTGATACATTATCAAACTCCTTTTCAGCCTGTAGAAAAATATATATTAAACATAATTGTAAAATATGTTTCTTTTGAAAAACAAAACATACAAGAAATATTCAAAACGTTAGTAACTTAATGTAATGACATGACTTCGAATTTAACAAGAGCACCCCTTGGCCGAGCATTATATGCCTGAAAGTGTTTTATTTTTAGTAAGGATGAAGCATTTGTAAGACATGAGAATTAAATAAAGTTATCTCCTTCAAAAAGCAATCCTCCTTTATAGCTAACAAACCTTCATATATATATATATATATATGTATATAATGCTATGATGGATGGACAGAAAGTCGCCAGGGGTATAACATAATATAAGCAAACTTTTTAGGGCATATAATTTTACATATTATGTACTCAATCCTATGAAGTTTGACAGTTGTAAAACTATTAACATTATAAAGGTCATTTGATAATGACCTTTGACCTTGTGACACAAATATAGATATGGATCTTTTATTCAATAAAGGCAATCATCCTACGAAGTTTGAACACTGTAAGCCAAATGGAACTTGTGGTATGCTCCAGAAGTGTAAAGATCATTGTGACCCTGACCTTTGACCTTATGACCCTAAAATCAATAGGGGTCATGTATTGGACATGGCTGTTCATCCTATAAAATTTTACAGCTTAACGTTGACTGATACTCAAGCGGAAACTGTTTTCAGTTTTAAGGTAATAGTGACCTTGACCTTTGACCTTGTGACCCCAAAATCAATAGAGGTCTTTTACCCAATATTGACAATCATCCTATGAAGTTTGAACACTGTAAGCCAAATAGAACTTGTGGTATGCTCCAGAAGTGTAAAGATCATTGTGACCCTGACCTTTGACCTTATGACCCTAAAATCAATAGGGGTCATGTATTGGACATGGCTGTTCATCCTATAAAATTTTACAGCTTAACGTTGACTGATACTCAAGCGGAAACTGTTTTCAGTTTTAAGGTAATAGTGACCTTGACCTTTGACCTTGTGACCCCAAAATCAATAGAGGTCTTTTACCCAATATTGACAATCATCCTATGAAGTTTGAACACTGTGGGCCAAATGGAACTTAAGTTATGCTCCAGAAACCACAATTTTTAGTGTAAAGATCATTGTGACCCTTTCCTTTGACCTTATGACCCTCAAATTAATAGGGGTCATGTTTTGGACTTGGCTGTTCATCCTATAAAATTTTACAACTGTAGGGTGATTAATGCTTAAGTTATTGAGCAAAAACTGTTTTCAGTTTCAAAGTAATAGTGACCTTGACCTTTAATCTTGTGACCCCAAAATCAATAGGAGACTTCTTCCCAATATGGACAATCATCCTATGAAGTTTGAATATTGTGGGCCAAATGGAACTTAAATTATGCTCCGGAATCTGTGTTCAGTTTTAAGGTAATAGTGACCTTGACATTTGACCTTGTGACCCCAAAATCAATAGGGTCTTTTACTTAATATGGACAATCATCCTTTGAAGTTTGAATATTGTGGGCCAAATGGAACTTAAATTAAGGTCCCGGAAACTGTGTTCAGTTTTAAGGTAATAGTGACCTTGACCTTTGACCTTGTGACCCCAAAATCAATAGGGGTCTTCTACCCAATATGGACAATCATCCTATGAAGTTTGAATATTGTGGGTCAAATGGAACTTTAAATGGAACTTAAGTTATGCTCCAGAAACCAAATTGCTAACAGAAAGAAAGGAGGATCCAACATTTGGGGTTTAAGTGCTTTTCTTTGATCTTTATGTGGCATTTTCCCCATAAACCCATACAATTTCCACATAAACCAGTCGGTTTATGGGATTTCCTTCTTCTTTTAACTAAAATTATGGACGGAATGAAGCTCATAGACCATTGGATTTTCGCCCGGACAAACGGACTGACATCCAGCCAAAATGGAATAAGGAGTCATTTCTTTTGTTATTTTCTATTGTTTAATAGAGGGCCAATGGCCTCTTATTCTATTGTTAAACAAGAGGCCATGATGGCCCTGAGGTCGCTCACCTGTATATAGCCCCCCCCCCCCCCCCCCCCCCCCCCCCCGGCCCAATTTTTACCCAAGGGCTTTTATTTGTTTATTTGAACAGACTTGGTAGACACCCATAAGAAGATGTTTCATGCAAAACATCTAAGTTCTAGCTCATTGAGTTTTTTAAAAGAAGATTTTTTAAGTTTTTACTATACACATAATGTGACATATAGTTAAAAACAATGACACCCCTCGGGCAGGGCCAGTTTTGACCCCAGGGCTTTTATTTGAACAAACTTTGTAGATATTTACTTAAAGATGTTTCATGCTTAATATCTAAACTCTAGTTATTTGGGTTTTTTCAAAGAAGATTTTTAAGTTTTTGCTATGTATATAAGGAAAATCAATGACCCCCGGGCGGGGCCAGTTTTGACCCCAGGGCTTTTATTTGAACATACTTGGTAGACACCCATTAGAACATGTTTCATGCTAAATATCTTAGCTCTAGCTCTTTGGGTTCTTTAAAAGACGATTTTATAAGTTTTTACTATATGCATATAAGGAAAATCAATGACCCCTGGGGAGGGGCCAATTTGGACCCAGGGCTTTTATTTGAACAAACTTGGTAGACATTCACTAGAAGATGTTTCATGCCAAATATCTAAGCTCTAGCTCTTACAGTTTCTTTAAAAGAAGATTTTTTAAGTTTTTACTATATGCATATAGGGAAAATCAATGACCCCCTGGGGCGGGGCCAATTTTGACCCCAGGGCTTTTATTTGAACAAACTTGGTAGACATTTACTAGAAGATGTTTTATGCCAAATATCTAAGCTCTAGCTCTTACGGTTCTTTAAAAGAAGATTTTTTAAGTTTTTACTATATGCATATAGGGAAAATCAATGACCCCCCCAGGGCGGGGCCAATTTTGACCCCAGGGCTTTTATTTGAACAAACTTGGTAGACATTCACTAGAAGATGTTTCATGCCAAATATCTAAGCTCTAGCTCTTACAGTTCTTTAAAAGAAGATTTTTTAAGTGTTTACTATATGCATATAGGGAAAATCAATGACCCCCCGGGGCGGGGCCAATTTTGACCCCAGGGCTTTTATTTGAACAAACTTGGTAGACACTCACTAGAAGATGTTCCATGCCAAATATCTTATTTCTAGCTCTTACAGTTCTTTAAAAGAAGATTTTTTAAGTTTTTACTATATGCATATAGGGAATATCAAATGACCCCCCCGGGGCGGGGCCAATTTTGACCCCAGGGCTTTTATTTGAACAAACTTGGTAGACACTCATTAGAAGATGTTTCATGCCAAATATCTAAGCTCTAGCTCTTAGGGTTGTTTAAAAGAAGATATTTAAAGATTTTTCTTTCGGTTGCCATGGCAACCAGAGTTCTGCATGGAATTAAATTCTTTGAACAATTTTTAAAGGTGACCACCAAAGGAACATTCCTGTGAAGTTTGGATGAAATTGGCTCAGTGGTTTATGAGGAGATGTCATTTAAAGCAAAAGTTTACGGACGGACGGACGGACGCCGGACGAAAAGCGATCACAAAAGCTCACCCTGTCACTTTGTGACAGGTGAGCTAAAAATGAACTCTATTGTTCTTTTTTGTTCTGTTTACAGTTAGATGGCCCCCTTTCCCTATTCCGGAGTGCGGACAGATGGACGGATGCCAGGGGGTATAACAATTAATATGCCCGAAATAATTCTTTCGGGCATATAAAAATGCTTCAACCCTAACCCAAAATAGCCATGATGACCTTTTCATATCTCACATGTGAAGAATGCAACTGATTTCATCTCCTAGGTGATAGTGTGAGCATAAAACCATGATATTAGGAGAAAACATTTTTGTAGCTTTACTAACACTAATTGAAACAACTATAAAATCAACCCTTGTGAAGATTCCATAAACATTTTAATTAAATATTCAAAATATTACTTTCTGAAAGACAAATAAAATTTCTGATAATTATTTCATAATAAAGAAACTAACACGTAAGAATACATTGCGAATTATTAAACCACATATTAAAACACTTTACCTTATCCACTAATGAACTTATGTTTACAGCATTTGTTAAGTTTGATATCCTTTGATCTTGAGTGTTCAGCTGAAAAAAAGTAAGATTAGTTATTTTAGCTAAAAAATAAAAATTGAACATCTTTGCACATTTATATTTTTCACTTGAGCATGTCATATTAATTAGGATAGTTTATCTGTAAAGGTAATATAAGAGGTCCATTATAATGGCCCTTATATAGACTAACCTGATTATTAAGGCTCTGCTGAATGAAAAGCAGATAATTATAATGTTCATATCTGCACCTGAGTAGTGCAAATGTTAGCAAGATTTTTCCATAGTTTGGCTGTGTAACCTAGTTTTTGACCCCAGATGACCCACACAGAAATCATTAAAAAACCTGCTTTCCAGGATAATTGGGCTGAAACTATTACATTTATAATGTTAACAAGGTTTTTCCACATGTGGGCCCTGTGGCCAAGTTTTTGACCCCAGATGACCCATATCAAATGTTGAGCTGAAAATGTTACCACAAAGTTTTTCCAAATTTGGGCTGTGTCATTTAGTTTTTGACCCCAGCTGACCCATATTCGAAATTAACCTAGACATCACATCAACTCTTCTAACATATTTCTAAGATATTTTGGCAAAAATCTTACCTCAAGAATGTGAACAAGATTTTTTCTAAATTTTGGCTGTGTGGCCTAGCTTTTGATCCCAGACCAATATTCAAACTTGAGCTAGAAATCATCATCATAAATTTTCCGAAAATTTTTCAGGAAATATGGGCCAAAAATGTAACCTCTTGGGCTTTAACAAGGCTTTTCTATATTAAGTCTGTGTGACCTAGCTTTTGACCCGTATGACCGATATTCGAACATCATCTAGAATTGATCTAAACAATCTTTCTGACCAATTTCAAGATATTTGGTCCGAAACAGTAGCCACTTGAGTGTTAACAAAGCTTTTGTAATTTTGGCTCCTGTGACCTTTTTTTTTCATCCAAGTTGACCCATGTTGGAACTCTTCCAAGGAATGACTGGGACAAAAATCCTGTTCAAGTTTGGGTGACAATTGTGGCAAAAATGTGACCACTAGTGTGTTAAGAAACTATATGTGGACGGACAACGGCCATTCAACAGTCCTATCCTATACGGAGCTAAAATATACAGGGATATTCCCTATTTCTATTGTTTTGATTTCATAATGGAAACATGGCCACATTCAAGCTTAAGAAGGCAACAGAACTGAGAAGGCTATTTGAAATATATATAATAAATATAAATTATTTTAACATATACATGTATGATACAAAAAAGACCCTTTCTTGAGCGTTAAAACAATAACAATTTTGGCTCTAGATTTTAAATCAAAATACATTGTCAATAATTTAATATATATTCAGGTAAAAGACAACCGATGTTAACTGAATATAACCATTTGATTACTTATACATAAGCATTTAAAAGGTCTTCAAGGTAAATGTATGACTTTACATGTATTAATTTTGTGAACATGTTTTGTACACCATGAAACCAAAGCAAACATCATCAATATTACGTTAAATTTTGAGCGGAAACATCGCTATTAGATTGCTTAAAGAAAACAAACAAGAGCTGTCACAGGAGACAGCGAAGCTCGACTAATAAAATACTTGACGCAGTAAGGAGGACAAAACTATGAAAGAAAAATCCATTATGTAATATTATGTATTAAGTTATAGAAAAAAAAATAACATTTGTTAACATTAATTCCAAGATCAAGGGGAATAATTCTAGAAATAGTCATGCTAGAGTTATGGACCTTGTCACACAACATTTGTGTAATGATAAGAAATATATGTTTGAAGTTTGAAGTAGATACCTTAAAAAGTAAAGAAGTTATTATATTTCTTAAAGAAAATCCTAAGTTCAAAGACAGATAAATCTGTAAACCCAAACCAAAATGCATGCCTGCGACAAGCTTGCCGCAAGCTTGTCACAAGCTTGCCGCAAGCTTACAGCATAAATACAAGGTAGCTGCATGCTTGCAACAAGCTTGCGCAAGCTTGCGATGACTTTTGAAATATATTGCAAGCTTGTTTAAAATTCATGCAAGCTTGCAAACATTTGATGTAAGCTTGCAATGCCGCAAGCTTGCAATTAGTAGACACTTAGAAAATTTTTGTACAAATCTACACTTAGAAATTTCTTGTGAAAGTAATTGAAACACTTAGAAAATTTTTGTCAAAAGTGTACACATTAAAATAAAAATTCCAAAAATGATAGTATCAGTGATAATTAACTAGTTTGACTAAATCACCACGCTAAAGTTTATTATTAGTGATAATTAACTTGTTTAACTAAATCACCATGCTAAAGTTTATTATTAGTTATTAGTTATTTTATATATTCAGCTCAGTATTGTAAATTTACGAAGAAAATATAAAATCATCATCTATTTTAATGCAAGTTACTGTAAATGATTTGAAATTTGACACTTTATACATTTCATGTAGTTGGAAAAGGGTATCTCAGAAAAAATGTCTGTGCAAAAGAAGTAAATGAATTGATTGTTAAATACATATTATTATTTCAATAAATCTACATGAAGTTATGTACAATGAAATAATATCCATTTAATTACAGGCTTTAAGTTTAACTATAAATTAATTAAAGTCTGTGATTCAATCATTCAGACACTATAATAATCAAGATGGGATTGCATTGCTTGCCATTTTTAAATTCTAAAAATTCATGTTTTTGGATAACAATAAATAAATAAATAAACAAAACAAAAACAGTGCATGAAATAATCTCATATATATTCTATATTAAATTAATCAATATATATTGCTTTTATTTAGGAAAATAAATACTCCACCACTGAGTTTTTACGCTACACACATCAGAGCCTTGATAAAATTCATTGACCATCTGTGCATGACTAATTTACTCCCTGGTCATTCCGACAGATCAGGCTGTTCCATGTGATTATTTTGGGGAGAGATAACATTATAAATTTCATATGCAGAATGTGTCTAGAAGGACATTGCAATCTTTTTGTACAAAAATTTGTAATGATTTTTAAAATATTTATATCTATTAGCTATTTGATATTTTCTTTTACGCTCAAAGAAATGAAAGTTAAAATGATGAGTAGATTAACCCTGCTTTACATAATGATAGACCTGTCCAGTTTTTACAGTAACTGTTGTAAAATTTGAATTCTAAGATATCTGGGTCAGCAAAGAGAGCAGAGGATGTACTTGATATTTTAGCAGTTTTGGAGATATTGTTTTGTTTAACATTTAAAGTGTTTAAGTATTGGTATGATAACAATCAGAATCACCTGGGACAAGGATATATACAACAGAATCAGGTATTTTATAAACCTTAAGTTACATTAATGCAGATTCATGGTATATATCAACAAATTATTAACATTTGTAACAGAGATCAAGGTTGTTTTTATGATTTCAACTTCATGCATTTGTTTTTCTGATAATTCTTTTAATCTATACATGTACAATCGCTGTAGACATAAAATTTATTCAATGATTTCTTTTTAATGATTGTTTATATTGTTTAAATGGCATGTTAGTAGATCTTTTTCATTTCCTGCAAATTAAACAAATTAAATCAATTTGATTAAATAGGACTTATTGGTACAATCAGTAGTTAAGTTGTACAGCTGAACAGGGTCAATCATAATCATTTGTTATTTTACATGTATGTGTTGTGTTTTCAATGGAACAATCTAAAATTACATTATACATATCAGGCTGGGACATAAGTGCTGACTGTTAGAAATAGCGGCAGAGTTTAATAATGATGTGCAGTATTAATCCTGAAAAGGTATATTATTAAATCTCAATACTTTTCTATTCCACATCTTTTCTTAAAAAAATACATACTGGGTAATAAATATTGTCACAAATTTACTTAATTCTCATACAGAGAAATTCTTAAACATTTGTGCACATTGAAATAAGATATACTGCATTGCTTTAGTATTTTTTGAAAATGCATAAGCATAGTTAATATTTAATAGTTAATACTGTTGAAACATTAGATTCGATGTTATAAAGAGATATGTAATATAACTGCATTTATGCAATAAAACATAGTTCATTACTGCATCTGTATTTAATTAATTATGAATTTTATCTTTAAAGGTCAGCACAACCATAAGAAGTTCTAAGAAACACAGGCAGAGGACTAAAAATGGACACCGATAAAAGAAATAGTAATTTAAATAATCAGAAACATTTAAAACAAATTTAAGATTGAATAGTTTGTCACTGACAGACTAAGAGCAAAATAATTGCTTAAAACAAAGTGTTGGATTCTAAGAAAACAAGAACCTACCAAACCTGCAGCTAGAAAAAAATTGTTTGTGTTATAGTGAATGCAGGGTGTTCTATTCTGTATTTGGACTAAAGGATATGTATTAAATTTTGTGAAAGAAATATGTGATCATGTTAAACTCATAAAAATTCTACCCCAATCATTCCTGTGCTGAATTCCATCCAGAATTTTACATTTTAAGAACATTTAGGGATGCTGGAATTAGGCTGGATTTTTTCAATGTCATTCCATCAAGGCTGGACTATTTACCATGGTAATTGGAAGAAAACATTAGTATATGAAAAATTTAACATCAGCTTCTTTTTACAATTTATGATTAAATAAGTTTATCATGGTAATCAATGCCTTTTTTTTGCATGTTATATAGGATTCAGAGACTGTTATACGTAGCAGCTCCCTTTCCAAATAGGGTTTACAGTTTTTGCAAGCCTGCGATTAAGCTTGCGCAAGCTTATACATTAAGCTTGTAATTATACATGCACAAGCTTGCGACTTAGCCTGTGCAGGCTTGCAGATAAACCTGCGCAAGCTTGCAAATAAGCTTGCGCAAGCTTACGATTAAGCTTGCACAAGCTTGCGATTAAGCTTGCGCAAGCTTGCGATTAAGCTTGCGCAAGCTTAAATATTAACTAGTTTGCAGTCAGATTTTTTTAAATAACTGATCGCAAGCTTGCCGCAAGCTTGCCGCAAGGTTCCAATTACTAGCCAGTAGCAAGCTTGCAACTTAAGCTTGCAGCAAGC